TGTTAAAACAGAACATATAAATATTAAAAATCAGCACCTGTTATTCATGAATTGAATGAACCAGTTTTTCAACGTAGCAGCGAACATCCACACGCAGAGCCAGCACAAGACAAGCCAAGCTCACGGCAGAGCTAGACAAGAAATGCACTTACTGTGTACGCATGAAGAATTACACTGGTGCGTCTGTGCGTACCACTAATAAAGTGAGGGTGATTTTATATACATAAATAGACGACAATTTTATATGAAAGATCACTTAGCGCCAGCACACCGAAGTGACTAGACACCCACATCATCGCTAAGTCGCCAGGGAAATTTCACGCCAGTAGTATTCTGATACTATAGGCTAGATAAATTTGTATGGCATTTTGATGCCATTGGCTACAACCTATTGTGACCGCTTAGAATTATACCCACATAGTTCTAGTCTATGTTCCTTTTTACCTAGTATTATAAATTTTATAATAAAGACATTCATTTTTGAACTAAAATACACAACGTCTTTATTTTCTCCTTGGTCTTTTACTAGCTTTCGAACTAGTCAATAAAACAAATTTATTGCAACAACCCGGGCCACGACTGAGTGATACCTCAGCAAAACGACGAGTCCGTGTCGTTACAGGCTGAACAAAATTATTAGCACACCTAATGCAAAAATTAAAAAACAAATTTAAAAAAAATATTTTCAATAACAATTAATATTTAATGGCCAAGCCCTTTTATTTGATAACGTCTTCTAGTGGCCTTGTCATCGAAAAAAACAATTTTTGTGTGGTTTCCGGCCCAATATTTTGTCACGCTTCAACAGTGCCACCTTCAGTGGTGCTGTTGTGGTTATAGCGCGCTTCTTTAGTAGTCTATCCAATTCTTCCCACAAATGCAACATAATACACACTTGAGAATATAACGAATGACCGCAATAACGAATGTTTTGATGCAGCACTTTATTACACACTTGCAACATAATGCGCGAGCAGTGGCGTAACTACAGGGAAGCAACTGGAAGCAACGCTTTCGGGCCCCCGAATTTAGGGGGCCCCACTATAAATTTTTGTAAACGTTTTTTGTTGGAATAACTTCATATTGCATTTTATAAAAGATACGTAAATTTTAAATTTAAAGTACATAATATGTACATATGTACTTCAAATAAAATATTAAACCTATTTATGAAATAAAAAAGTTTTTCTAAGAAAAATATGTGTCTTGATCGAGAGTTTATATGGAAGCTATATCTAAATTTAAACCCATTTGAAAATAATTTTGTACGTTGTCTTTTGCAAATATCAGTACTGTATACACCATATTCCATTTGAATACCTTTATTAAAAACGGAGAAACCTCATATCCGATTGTTAAGTTTATATCACAGCTACAAGAAATAGACGTCCAATTTCAATCAAATCAAATGGTGAACAGGGTGCGCTCCCGAAAAGTATGTGTATAAAGTTTTATTCGAAGAATTCAAAAGCTGAGAGAGTAGTTTGAACTGTAAAAGTATACTGATATATACTTTCCGAAGTTTCCTTTAATGCGTTACGAAAATCTTGACAAACCTTATATACCCTTTTTACATTTTTTCGTGTAAAGAGTATAAAAAGAGGGGCCCCTTAGTATGTTGGTAGGGGCCCCTTAGTTAGCGTTTGCTTACAGGCCTAAAAAATGTAGTTACGCCACTGTGCGCGAGTTACATTCTCTTATCTTATCCCTATACTAAATATTTTATTATCGTTGTTCGACTTAATCAAACTACGAAAGATCTACATTATACTTTATTATATTCTATTATCTTTAACTAAGCATTGTAACTAAAAATATTATCGTTGTTCGGCCTAACCAAACAACGAATTGTCTTATCAGGATTCGATACTTCGAATTCTTACTATAAATATAAGCAAAGATCTTAGATATAAGTCAGTCTTAAGATTCATTTAATAAAGCAAGAATAAAACTTAAGTTCTGTGCGTTTTAATTAAATATAATTCGCGAGCCAAACGTCATGTATGGTCATTGTACGTTAATAACCCGAATTCCTTAAGAGATATTGAACACCATAATTTGCATTAAAGAATCGTATGAATAATATGTATTGAAGAAATATATAAGTAGTATGCATAAGAAATGCATTTAATAGTATGTTATGAACTTAAACCTCGACCAAGTTGTTTGTTGGCTTGACTCGAACTGAATTTAAAGAATCAAGCAAAAGCTAACCAAACCAAGTCATTTATGCAGAGATTTGCATTCTTAAGATAAGTGTGGGGGAGTTTGTCGTGCCTAAATTGATTCCTATAGGAGGAACCATAAGCGCAACATTGTTCATTAAGAAAAACAAAGAATACTGTAAGTAAGTAAGCTTCAATGCACTTGATATAGTGTAAACAGGCAGCATTACTTTGTGTGTAGGATAAATTCCTAAACAAAAACTGTGATATTGCGCTTTGTCTTTTATTTGTCTTGATACAAAGTAAGACAAAACTTAATTTGACAAATATGTGGAATACATCCACATAACAAGTAACATAAATAACACATGTTACTGTTTTAACATGTAAGATAATTACTACGAATATATTCTACATATTGAATTATATATTCTATTAAAAATTGGAAATAACCAATGCATTGATTAGTTACTCATAAATAAATAAGAATTAAATAAAAAGTTTAGTATAGATTCTTTTAGATTCTTTTGTTCACTCAAAAGGAGTTAACTAACATATCTTTCAATCTCAGAGTTATATGCGGCACTTTTGCTGAAAATAACTGAAAGCGGCTAAAAAGCTTAGTTTAATACTTATTATGTCAATAGGTTGATCCATTTACATCGGGCCAATTTCGTATTGAGAAAAAGGCAATTATTGCTTTTAAATCCCAAACCTATTGTTCCATATAATGTTACGTGTTGTAACGACAATTTTTCGTCGCTCTGTTTGCCGGGGTAATACTCAGGGGTTGGTCCTGGGTCGTTACAATAAAATTTATAAATGTTAGAAGACCGTGTTTCAAATTTTGTTTTAATTTTCTTTTCTTTATTAAAGTATTTATTTTAAAACTAACAATCGTCTTAATTATTCTATGTTTCTATCCTATTACAGGATATTCACTTTAATATTGATATTGATATTGATGTTGCTATTGATGTTGATGTTGATAGTAATTTCCTTTCTTCGATGCCAGGGTATTGTTCTTTGATGGTTTTGTGTATTTCAGCTGATTTCCTTTCTTCTATACCTGTTGTTATCAATGTTAATATATAGACATGTGCACGCCTATATAAGTTTTAGTGACAAAGGATAAACGTGTTCACGCTTATCCACGGATTTGGTAGCAAATTATAAACGTGTTCACGCTTATTATTTTGCTGGAGAAAGGATTTAACGTGTTCACGCTTATGCAAGAATTTGGTAGCAAATTATAAACGTGTTCACGCTTATATATTTGCTGGGGAAGGGATAAAAGATATATATATAAAAAAAAGAAAAAAAATAATATAAAGGTGCTTCTTTATACTTAGCTCCGGTAATGTTTCCTAATGCTTCACTTGGCGAGTCTATCACGAACTCAGATGACTTCAAGCGTCGATCACTAACTGCCTTCTTTTAAGTAAATGCGTCTTCTTATATACGCATCAGACCAAACTTTAACGTAGCGCAAAGCTTAGTTTACAGCTGGCTTGGATTTTTGACGTCGTTGCTGTTTTGCGCTTTCGCCGTAGTTAATATGCGCGCGCATCAATTTTAACACAAAGCTCTTTGCACAAAAGCTTTCTTTTGACGTTTCTTGTGTTGTGCATTTGTTTTGTTTTGAAACGTGTTTAGCTTAGTGTCGGTAGTGGCGGCTTTAAATATTTATATTTATTTATTAAAATAAAATAAATATTAAAAATATTAAAAGTACAAGTTTAAATAATAAATAAATAAGGTAGGTACAATATTTATTTATTTGAATATATTTTGCATTTTTTTAAATTTTCAATGTAATCTCAGGTTTTATTCAAGTGGTGCAGTTACGTACATGCGGGGGTGGGTTTATGGTAAGTTACTTTTACTTTTACTTTTAATATATTATATAAAAATTAACCAATTTTTATTTCAGGTATTAACTGCACACTAGTTATATGTAGGTTGGAAATTGGTAAAAATTTCCATCCTTACAGTGTCGATCTTTACATTATAATATTATATCATAACATTACATGTCAATCCTGCCATATACCAGTAGATGACAACATTATAAAATAAATGTTTGTAATTTTAGCTGTCAAAAATTTTTACTTTGCATTGAAAGCAACAACAATTGACAACTAAAATTACAAATCAAACTCTCGTGTGAATCCAGTATTACACGATTATTTTTCTATCTGTTGTCTCTACAGAGTTGTATTCCTTTATCACAAATGAATGCAACTGTCTAGAAACAACGGCTGATTGAAGTTTAAACTTTTCACTCAACTTCGGCTTGATAAGGTTTACACAAATATTTAATATTGCAACGATATTGGCTAAACGTTTGGTTGAAAAACTAGCCTTGTAAAGCATTGCATTTGTGCTGTCATAATTATTGTTGTTTTAAGCAATAATAATTAGTGCTGTCATACAGCTGATTGATAAATTTACACAAATCCTTCTCTAAGTACGCTCATATAACCGTATATGTAAACAAATAAAATTATACATTTTATAAATTTATATGCTTAACATAGATGAGCACTCTTAGTAAGTAAAAATATACGAAATAGGTGTGCCTATATACATTTCTATATGTAAATGTAAATGATTTATTAAATATGTTAAAAATGTGTTAGATCGATAAACATTACTCTTATTTTAAATCTTTTGCTTTATATTATTGCTTTTAACGACTATTGTCGTACAGCGACAAAAATTAATCGGTTCCTTCCTATATATTTATACATGAAGAACTAAGAACTATTTTTTTTTTTTTATTACAAAATCTTTAAATACAAAATAAATTTTAAAAATTCAATATAATAAATAAACATTTCTTAGTATTTAAAGATTAAACAAGAAACTGTACAATCTTGTTAACAAATCAACATTTTTTACTTTTGACTTGTCGTCAATAGCAGTCTCCTTGACTGGTGTTGTGGGGCCAGCCTCGTCAGGAATGACTGCTACTAGTGCGAGAGGAACTATCGGCGATTTAGCGTTAGATGCATTGACTGATTCTGTGAAAGCAACAATATCAGATAATTTTAAGTTAATCGAGTCCTTAACAGTTGATAAAACAGCTTCAAAGGAATGGTGACGGCGAATTTTTGTTGTATTCCTGTTATCTGTTAATGATGTCATAGTGGTCACTGCATCTATTGTTTCTGAAAACAAATTTATAGAAGTCATTGTTGTTGGTTCCCTAACAATAGCGCTTTGATTATCCATTGCGCTTTGTGTAATATTTGATGCAGATGAAGGAATAACTTTTGCTGCAGTTGTATTATTTATGGTATTTGTCACAATTTCGTCCTGTGCCTTATTAGCAGCACCTGATACTGCTGCAATTATGTCAGTTGCTTTCTGATTATCAAGTGGTTTTATATCCATAGTTGGTGTAGTATTCTGCTCAATAGCAGTGGACGGAGCTGCGGCTTTTTTCTGGTGTTTTTAAGAATATATTTAATAAATTAATCATCTAAAAACTGTTAATTGGTTATTTACCTCAGAAACTTCAAATACAGTTATAAATGCTGAGTTTTCAAATAATGGTGATATACCGCCCTCTTGTTGGCTTGCACTTGTACTGCGTGTCTTAACTGTATTTGGTGTGACAATAGCTTTCTTCTGCTAGATTGAAATACAAATAAGTATTTATTCTATAAAAAATATTATTAAATTGGTTACCTTGTAAACTAGAGATGCTGATGTGGCCGTGGTATCATTAAGCAATAATAGCTTATCTTGCTTTTGTAAAAGGGCAGTTCCCAAAGTTTTATTTTGAACAGCATTTGGTATTGCAGTATCACTCGTCTTTTAAATTTGGTTTAATTTATTTATTATCTTATTTAAAAATGTTTACAATATATATTACCTCATTAACTAAATATGCAGAATCTACTGCAAACATATTTTGAGCTGTAGTTCCTGTTGTTATTGCCTTATCATTACCATCCTGCTCATTTGCACTTGGTGTTATAACAGCATTTTTCTATAATTTAAGCAGTTTCTAAGAAAAAATTTATTTTAATAACTTCATTATTACCTCGAGAATTGGCTGTACCGATGCTAATAACTCCCCATTTATTAACGACAAAAGACTAGTTTTGGGTTCCTCGTCAATTTCTGTTGCGCTGCACTGACTAGCTGGTAGAGATGTGACAACTGCTTGATCCTTAAGAGTAATTATATTATTAGTAAATTTTTTTATTTTTAAATAATTCATTTAATCACCTTTTCCTGATATTGACCAAATATTGATGAAGCTGTGTTAATGGCCGATTCGTCGGTTTGTAGCTTAGTACCATCTTTCTCCATGCTGTCTTCGCTACACTCTGATATTGTACGTTCTTCAATTGCATGTGGTGGTTCAACTGTATTTTCCTAGAAAAGAAAAAAGGAAAAATTGTTTTATATTGAAAATGTTATTTTAGTTACCTGTAGTTGGCGTTTGAATACTGCCGATTCTGATATTATAGCTAAATCATTAAAGAATGGCATGAAGCTTTGTATTTGAGAATGCAGAGCTATTATTTGTTTTTGCGTATCCTCATCTTTTTCGGCATCAAATCCTGGTGTTTGGACACGGTCTTCAGCGTTAACGACGCCTTTTTTTGTCGTTTCATTAGCAACGGTTAAGCTTTCGTATGCCTTGTCGTTATTTGGTGTTGCCAAATAGGAAAGATCTTTTTCATTAGTTTCTTCATTAAAATCAGATATCGGTTGGAATTCATTTCCGGTTTCGACCGGTATATACAAATACTTGGATTCATCTGAATGTTTTTTGGTATCATTACCACGTTTTAAGTATGAACGTTGATTTGGATCTTCCTCATAGAAGTCTTTAGTATCTTCATATCTAAAGGTCTCGATTGGATCATAAATTTCAGAATTAGTGATGTGATGTGCGGAGTGTTTACTATGTTTTGTATGCTTGTGACTTGCGTGATGCCTTTTTTTATTACCGTCGTAATAACTCTCAGAATCATTCCAATCAGACATATCTTCATCAGCATTCATGCCTCTTTTTGTATGAAGCTTATTGACTCTATTACTTTTGGTTTTCCTTTTGTTGGACTTGTGCTTGTGATGTTTATGTCTGTTCGATCTATGTGACTTTTCATGTTTGGACTTCTTCTTTTTTGGCAATTCAAAGAAATCATTTTCATCCACATCATCCAGCAAAGATGGTGCATCCATTATATTGTTAAAAGGTTCGTCAGCTGAATACGACTTCAGTGATCGTGTACCTCCTTCATCCATATCATCATTGTAAAAAGTGCGTTCCAACCAATTACCGGAGTCATGTTTATCACCTTAAAAAAATAACGTATATATTTCTTATTTGTGAAAAATAGTACCTAAACCAGACCTAAAAATAAAATCAAACAGCGATCCGTGTAAATAATTATTATAAATATAATTTTATATTTTATATAAATATTATATAGTACTCACCTTTAATCAGTGTCACGAATGTAGTAAATATAGAAACTAGAACAGAGAGATTCGCAATCTTCATTGTAAAATACGTTGATGTTAAAACTCTTTATGGTAAAATATACAAAGTTTTTCAGCTGAAAATTAATACAATACTGTTTTTTTTAGTTAAAATTTATAATATAAGTTTTTATAAAAATGTTCAAATATGTTAACTTGATTCTTTTATTTGTCTAAAAAAATTTTAAATCAACTTAAAAATATGATAGATTTTACAAAAATATTAATCGATTATTATTATCGATATTCGGTTATTAATGTCAGCAATAGTCAAATGTGAATAGTATTCTTTCATAAAATTGGATTTAGTGAAATTTTGTAAAACTTAAAGCATTAAAAGAAACATTAATTTATGGCATTATTGACAAAAACTGATTTTGGTCAGATCAATTAGCTATTATGGAAACATGTCTTACAAACCAAAACTATGAACTCTCATTCTTCACAACTTTTTCCAAAAACCAACACTGTATGTGACGGATTTTACATTCGATTTTCACTTCCAAGGCTACAGACGTGTAGCCAGCGAAGCCCAACCGGCTGAAGCTCTCCCTCCTCATGTAAAATAAATCAAAATACTATATTTGCAGATATTATTGCATATTTAATTTTTAATACATCAAAATTATTCTTGCGAAAGCAGGGCACTATATCAGAAGGTATTGGTGATTCCTTTTCGTTATTCTCCATGCAATATATACAGTGCAAAGAGTCCCTGATATTCAGCCTCACGGCATGTTCTCCTAACGGGCAGTGTCCCGTGATAATTCCCACTATCTTAGATAGGTTTGCTCGGAATAGCTTGATTAGTTCCCCTGATCATCTCTTATTAATTTCTGGCCAAATTTCCTTGGTTTTAATACAGTTGGTCACCGTTGACCACCTTCTCCTAAACATCCGGTGTACCAATAAATTTAATCGATGCCGATAGAAAGCAAGTGGTATACCTACATTTTATTTTCCCAGAAGAATTTGTGCAGCCGTACCATGCCTTGCTAGTTCATCTACCTTACAGTTGCCTTGGATGTCTCTATGTCCAGGGGCCCAAAAAACTGGTATATTCAGCCATCACCATGAGTAATGTAAGACAATTCAGTACCAGCCCCGAGTTTATGAACGATGAGTTTAAAGATTTTATAGCTACCTGACTATCAATAAATATATTCATATAATTAACGGAGGTAACATTATGTTTCAGTCAATCCTATAGCAGATACTTCAGTTTGAAAAACGCTACAGTAACCTAGTAAACACAGACTGAGATCTAAAGGCAATATACTCCTCCTCCTACTTGTTTGTCTAACTTTGAGCCATCTGTAAAAAAGTTAAGGCGATTATCGCTCTTTACAAATTAGCATTCACACATCTCTCTAGAAGGAATGAATAATTCAAAATTTCTGTTCATGATTGTGATCGTAGTACAGTAATCTGTTGTATCCGGAATGAAGTCAATTTCTCTAAGGATAGAATCATGCTCCCATCCATACCTTCTTCCAATTCCTAGTTTCCTTATTTCGAAAACTGCCCCAGCCACCTCGCCTTTTGCAGTGATGCCGATGGGTAAAACATTAAAGATGACATTTAGGGCAAGTGACGGTTTTGATTTTAACTCTCCACTTAATGCCATCAGTGTAGTCCTTTGAATCTTTTCCAGTTTCTTGCATAGTGTTGACCTATTCAGAGTATTTCTCCAAAATATTACTCCATACAGGAGAATCGATTTTACCATCACATTATATATCCATAGAATGGCCTTCGAGAAAAGTCCCCATCCATTTCCTATAGCGCCTCTACAACAGTAAAAAGCAACCATAGTCTTTTGAGTTCGCCCAATAACATTCGGTCCCCAATTTAGTTTTCTATCAATTATAAGAGCTAAGTATTAGCGCCAGAATTTGACCTCCTTGGATAGGTAGTGTGAATTCTGGAATCTTATACTTCCTAGAAGAAAGCACTAATTTTATTTTGGTTGAATTGACAGTTCGCTACTAAGGGCCCATTTTGATACTTTATATTAAAGACATATTATTGGCATTTCAATTTTTTTTAATTTTTGGTTTTATTGTTTAATCATGCCAACAACATGATGAACAATACCAAACTGTATAGTTTTGTGGATGCCTTAATATTATTAGCTGCTGAATAGCCTTCGGGACTACTTTACTCTAAATGTTATAATTTCTTTTAATAACAAAAGTTCTGAGACACAAGTGAAGCTAATAACCTAATAGAATTTTTGACAGAACATTAATTTTGAAAGACATTTTCGGCGGTTACCAAAACAAACTCCTGTTAAACCAATCTACTGTAAAAAACTTTAGATCAGTCCGTTAAATAAAGTCGTAGACAATTTTTCGTCTACGAAACATACTTACAAGATGACTATCTAACCATTAATACTTAGTTGACGTTGGAGATTAAATAAATATTCTATCCGACTTCGCTGTGCAAATGCGGCCATAGTATTTCACAAACAATAGTGTTGAAGTTTGAATAAATAATACAGCAAGTGCAATAGTTGCTTATAAATAAACAATAAAAATTGAGCTCAAAATTTGATGAACTGTGCGAGTCCACAGTTCAAATTTGACAGAGTTCATTCAATTTGTGAGACTTGCAGTCCAAAAATTATATACGAACAATTAAGCCAACAGACGTTTTCAAAGTCCACTGATAATTATTATTTGACGACATTCGAAACAGCTGTACGGTCAAACTATGTATGTACTTGATTAAACATTTCCTTACCTACTTTATATCTCCGCTTTCTATTCGAAATGGATTTCTTGTCATCGAATATAAAATTTTTAAAAATTCATTCATTATCATATAAAGTATTTGCTACAGAAAACAGTAAACAATGATTTTGACATCTATTAGTTTATATGTGTAGACTCTTGATTTAGCGAATACTTAGTATATCGAGCCCTCTTAATAACGTCCGATAATACTTTTGTAAGTAAACAAATGAAAAATGTTCTCTCTATACAACGACTAATGTATATATTGATTTCAAAACAACGAAAAGCTATGAAATTACATCTTTATGGTAGTTATTCCCAGAGTCTACTGTACATTATAACTTGCATTTTGGGAAAAATTAAATTTTTTATTTTCTTTTATATTTTCAGACAACTACGTAAATATTTAATCTCTTTCTTAATATGAGAGATTATATATAGCCACCAAAAATAATATTTAAACAGTTGACTCTTTTAATTTTTGAATGATTAAAGAAAAATAATATGAGAATAATAAGAAAATATAATCAAACAGTAGTAATTATAAGAAAAAATATAAATTTGCCACCAATATTAAGACAGATAGTAGAGAATTTAAAAAAAATAATGTCTCTAGAATACCAGAGCATACATTTACTGAAACGGTCTTACAAAAATGTCTAATACCACAAGACCTTAGAGTAGACGGACAAAGCAAAAATAAAAACAAAAATATAAAATATTAGGTCAGGCAAAAAGTTTCTCTTTTCGCTTGACTTAGAAAGATTGCAAGTTTGAAACGATTATCTTGGTTCTGCCTCTTTATGAATATCGCTTTATGTCACTACAGGAGAGTACATGGGATTGGTCATGTAAAATCTCCTTATATTTTGACAAATACACTTAAATATTTTTATTTAATTAACAGTTTTCCTTCTTTACTTCCTAGACGTTCCCCGTATTCCTTAAAAGTTAGTTTTGATTCCCTCACTGTGAAACGGTAAGTTTGATCTCACAGATTTTTTTCTATTACTTTAGATATAGCAGATAATTTGATTACATTTTTCAATAAAATGGAATTATTTTTCATATTTTGATTCTTTAAGGATAGAGGTTTTAAAGAGTAAAAAAAAAATTTTATTTTACGGGATACAATAAATAAATTTGCTCTTGATGAATAAATAAAAATTCATCTTAGACATCCCTATCTAAATCCTCTTTCTAACTTCTTAAAAGGAGAAATTTTTTTACTATGTCCTGAATTCATCCTATAGCATTTTGCCGATTCATTAAATACATGTCATTTTCTTCATATTTTAGATATGTTTTTACAGGCGATCAAGGGTATGATATTGAAAATATTAGGGGACAATATAACACCTAGTCTTACAATATTAGAAAGCGTTTCAAGACATGATTTTTAAAGAATTGTAAATTGTGGTTTTTAGTATTAGTAGAGTCATTCATCTTAGTTTGGGTGGTGTAGAGTGAGTTTCTAACATTTCTAGAATAAATTTTTTGTCAAACTTTCGTCAAATGTCTGCTTGAAATGTATGAATCGCATATATATATCGAAATTTTGTTTATAGTAAAGTACTATTATTGTTTAAGTTCAAAAATTAATTTCAGTTAAAAATCTTTTAAAAAAAGGTCAGCTATCACGATATTGTTAAGTACCTGAAGATGAACGATAGTACTACCTTAAAATATTTGCGAAAGTTGATTAAAAAAACTCTAGGTTTCGTTGCTTTATGAACTAGGAAAAAAAGATTAAATGATCATAATTTTCATATACAAATACAAAAAGGAGTGATGCTTTACTATCAGCTACTAAAATTACAAATCGAAGAAGTGGCGGAATTAATCAAGAGAAAAAGTATTGTGTTACAATATGATGCCTATAAGCCACACACATAAGTCGGATAAAACTTGAAAGACCTTAAAACTTCGCAAAATGCTTCTACCCTCATAGTCCTAACACTGCATATTTAGTATACAAATTATTTTGTAAACAAATTTAATTGTTGTTGGAACTCTTATCGTGGAGGATGACCACATGACTGAAATAGCCATTGGTATAAAAACATATGTTATTAGTCCCATTACCCGTCATGTGAAATTGTTTGTCCTAGACGGCCTAGGAAATGAATGATTGGTGCACTTTACATCTACCATATTTGGGAAATCAATTAAAAATATATTTTATAAAGAGAAGATTTAAAACTTTCTGCAAACTCTATTTTTCAGTATAAAAGTATTCTTTATGTGATTATAATTAATTATACAAATACGTACTTACTGTAGACGCAATTGATTCCCCCGTGGAGAGAGCAGGGATGCAGTGGTATGATTTATTTCCTAAAGTTAAGACTTCGATCTATTAATTTAATAGATGAATTATAATAAAATATGCTAAAAACTTTTTTCAATTCATACTTACTTATATAAACGCTGCTACTCCGTCTGTCCTTCCAAATTGTCGGTTCGCAACGATACTTCAAGAACACTATAAAAAATAAAACAATTTATATTGCTTTTAAGAAATTAAACTGTCATTTTTAAATCAAGGCATACATGTTAAAATTTTTTATTTAACCGTAAAAAGAAATTTTAAATTAAGTGACAAATAAAAGGCTACCAAATTATAAGACAAAAGTTTACCTTCAAATCTAAAGATGTTAAATGAACACATCAAGAATACAACTCAGAATATACATTCTGTTTAAGAAGTATCCGAAAAGAATAACTACGGACACATTATAACAATTAAAGTTTTTTTGTGTAAGTTTGTAAGATCATACTAACTTACAGATAATGTCACATACTGAACTTCTAAATGTGATAGATCAGTGGCGAAGATATGGGGCTTGTGTACGTGCAGGAATTATGTGCAGCAGTTGAAACCAGATTACCTATTTGATGAACATTTTTTGATGTTTATGACATAGTAATAGATTTTTTGCAAGACCTCATTTACTATTTCACCAGAATATCTTGTTTTTCCAACCTATGTATATGCATCCTATGTACTTTATTGGCTATTCAATGCATTACAAACATATTATCATATTTAATACACACTTTAACACTACCATGTATACGATGAATATTTAAACATTTTACAAAATATACAATAGCTCAGTTTCTCTCTTAAATTAATCTTGTATCAAACATCTTAAAAATATACTATACATAACTGATAACTTCCAGAAATCATAATACTAATACTGATTCCCAGCAAGAGCACCGCTTAGAGAAATAAAAATAAAAATAATTTTATTTCTCTTATTTGGACTCTATCTTTAGTAATTGACGATTTACTTTATTTCATATAAGGTTTCTTAAAAATAGTATTCCCAGAGTTGCTATCATTTTCCAAAAAATGCAGTAGTATTTCCAACAAGATTGACGGGAAGGTCCAACGAGAACAAACTTAGTTATGAACAACAATACTTGACAAATTTCGAATCTTGTATGTTATAACCCGCCCATGCCGATAGTCTGTCTAAGCTATTCGAACATCTCAACTAGGTCTTAATCAATTTTAACTTTGAGAAGCTTCTTTTAACATAGTAGAAGCTGTATTTATACCGTTGCATAAGTCTAACAAATTCAATTTTAAAAGCAGCAGTTTCCCATAGAATTCGCCGCCGACGCCTAGCGGCGCCACTGTTCACATTAGAGTTTTGTTTCTAATTTTAGCAGTCGTATTTGTAATTTTAGCTGTCAATTGTTGTTGCTTTCAATGCAAAATTAAAATTTTTGACAACTAAAATTTTAAACAAAACTCTTGTGTGAATCCAGAATTCACACAGTATTCGAAATAGCCATATGGCTAGCCCAATAGTGCACTTGATTAAAAATTTTAGGTTTAAAGAATTTTCACGCTATTACTTCTTTTCTTCCAATATAGATTTATTGTCATAGAGTTTTTGACTGTAATTAAAGAGATTGACAATTTATTTAATCTCGTATAAGACTTTTTGAGAATATGCTTTACATTACTGATATAAAAAAAGCTGCGACCGGTTTTACAATGTATTTTCTTGTCGCAAAACCTTACTAACAATAACTATAACAGCTCTTGAAGTTGAACTGAAGAAATCTTAACGGAATTCTCCCTTACCAAGAGTGTTACTTAAAACCCCATGATAACTTCAAATCAAATGAACTCATATTTAATTAAGAAAAGAATGATGACTTCTAATGGGTTATACATTGTGATGAAGATCCAACCTGCTAATACAACTGTGTTTTATTTATTGACTCAATTAATTTTATTCGAGAAGATTGTGCTACATTTAATCGATCCAATGAAATGTGACTCCCGGATAAATAGACTGTTAATATCAACATATGTAATAACTTAAAAGAATAGAGTCCGTGCATGCTAGCTAACATAACATAGCACAGACATTTCACATATTTATTAAAGATCTGTTTAAGTGAGCCAAGCATAATCAATATGTAGGGTTCACATACATATTATGTTATAGACTGCAATTATGAGTTACAGTGTAGTGTATATTTCGTAACCCAGAATTGAGCAGTTTTAAAATTCAAAAACTAACTTTTCGTCTCTGATTATAAAAGCGATATTTAATATGTGTGTATATATGCAGATTAAATATTAAATTTAATTTTTAAAAGTAGCGTTCTTCCGATATAGTGCGTATTCATATAACTTCACGTAATTTTGTACTAAAGAGGCGGAGAAGGAGTAAAGACAGGCACACTTTAAAAATTATAATGCACAATATTTAACTTTTAATTTTTTTGATTTGTGCTATTGTTACCGGAAAGAACTTCAAATAAAATTAAATAAAAGTGCTACACGCCCACAAAAAAAAGAAAACAACCCACTAAGGCATCATATGTATTTTGTTAAATATGTACTCACTTATTAACATGAAAAATAAGAGGGTTGAAGAGACGCAAGCCCTTAATTTAAAAATGTAACAAAAGTAACAAATTACCTTCAACATGGCAGAGTAACGAAGGGCAAAATATTGGCCAACTCTAAACCCTCTACGGAACGTTGTAGGTTGCACATCGATAAAGGGGAAAAGGAGAAATTAAAGAAATTCTATGAATAAAAATAATGGTGGGTTACACTTCATCAATTATTTGCCACTTAATATTTTCAACTGAGCACACTGATTATTTTTTCTTACTTTTAGAGAGCTGTTGTTGTAGTTGTTGTTGGCAACATGACATACATGAAATTTGCTGGAAAAAAGGCCTATTAAATGGCACCCATCTGTAATATTTTGAACCCCGGTTTTTTTTAATTTTTTTTTTTATTTCAACTGACAGCAATCAATGTTGTTAATTTGACAGAAAGCAAAATAATAATGTCAACTTAATTTTATTATTTTGGGTTTGATTGGGTTTTAATTGTCGTTTTATATTTTACACCCACACACAGTTCAAATTATAAAATAAATATTTAATTACTACGAAATTCATCATGAAATGGTCTTTATTGACGAATTGCAAAAAAATAATTGCCAATAATTTGGTCTGTCATTTCATAGAACTTCACCAGATACTCTTTAAAAATGGATCAGAAACAAATTAATGTTTATAAAAACGATTAGAGCAGAAATTCTTGTTTTATTCAATATAACATTTTTATCATTAATTAAAAATATAATCAATTTTTTAATTAAAATTACTAATAAGAAAAATGAAAAACTAAGACGTATTGTTGTTTTAAATGGTTCAATATACACACTCTAAGGAAGAATTTAAATAAAATAGCGTATTAAGCTCTGCAGATCTTAATCGAACAGAAAATTAAAAAAATTAATTTAAGTATATTATAACTTTATAATAATAATGTTATGGTCAAAAAAATAAATCAAATTATAATCAAAAAATAATTATAGTTTTTATAATACAAAATTAATTTTCATAATCACTATTATTAGCTTCTGTAGCTAATCTGATTTTTTTCACCAAGTTGGCAAAAGATCCTCTTCGATACTTAATTATTTAGTTTTGCATCTTATAATAACGAATCCATGTATTAATTGTCGCAAATTTTGCATCGTATAATATCAGTATCTTTAAAAATGGATAAACAATCTAATGAAGCAAATAGCTCGTAACAAAAACATCAATTATTTAATCCGAATATATAGCGAAAGAACGATTAAATCTCACAAAAGTATTTGTTCTTAAAATTGACAACTTCGTATCACTACAAAAAAATGCAAAATTTTCACAAACCCAGCACAAAAACATTGAACGAGCTAACTTCTAAACTTTTATAACTATATAACTACACCCACAAAAGAAGCAAAGATATCTTCTATGACAGAATATAGCACGCATGCATTTCTCTTATAAAATATAAAAGGATAGATTGTATCTTCTCTGTGTTTATAGTGTAATATAATACATACTTGGCTCATGGAATATGGAGATATTCACAAGGTTTTCTGCTATATATATATATATATAATATATATATATATATAATAGTTTTCTCTATTACATAATCCACAGAACTGTTAATATTCAGTAAAGAGTATTTTTTGCTTATCAGCAATAGGTGTACTACCACTGTTTTCTATATTTTTGGTTACAAAGTGTGTTTGAAGAAGATATCGACACATTCCAACATATCTCTTTTTTCAGTTCGTTATTAAAAAAATTACATCTGACGAAAGCGCGGAATTTCACGCCTTATACTTGGTGAAAGAAGTCGACTTCTGTCTTCTGAGATATGACGACAAATGTCAAAAAGCGTTAGGTGAACCAATAAGCAAATGTTTAAAATTAGAGCAACTACTATATTAAACATGTCCAAAGAATAAACATAGATAATCCGACAAAAAAAATATACTAATCTGCACCAGAAGGAACAAGAAAAGGAGTACGGACAAGCAACAGATGTACAGGAAGAAAATTACAAAATGAGGCCAAGATTCAGCTTGGGTAGTTGCGCCATTAATGATGTTAATGATTAAAAATTATTCTATCCAGGATTGCCCAAAGTAAACGAGATCAAAAAAAATTAAATTTAATTAAAAACGGTGTTAATATCAGTTTGAGAAATAAACCGCAACTTCTGACTCACGTTGTTGTTGTTGTTGTAACCCGCCGGGACCTGAAAGCAGATAACATGAAAGGATTACAAGACGAATGCATGGGATAAGGAATGGAAAAGGTGGGAGTGAGTGTTCGGATGAGGGAAAGGGGAGGGGTGGGAGTGATTTGAAACCAACCAGGATCCAGTCGAAGAAACCTAGCCACTTCAAGGGGACGAGTCCAAAGGTCGATTGGACTTAAATTGGTGTGTGCGTTGGTGTCTGACTCACGTCGTTTACTGTAGTTAAACATTATTAAATATTGTGACATATTTATAATTTTATAACAATATTCAATAAATAAATTTGATCAACATTTAAAAACTTGCGGCGACATTTTAAAAGAACCAAAATAGAGACATTTAATGTCACAACTAGCAGTAGTCCTATTATGCAAAAGGGCTTACCATATCCGTAGTACTATGTAATAAAATTGTGACTAAAATAGTAATCTGCTAGAGACCCACCCACTTATCACAGTCCCACATATTTATAACATAACATATAATAGTTGCATGATATTACAGTATGTCAATTACTCTAAATGCGTCTAAGTCTCTATAAATCGCAGGACAATCTAACCTAACTGAAGTCTTATCACTTTTAAAGCAACAACTATTAGAATTAAAATAGCGCTTACCTTGGCTGTGCTGCTACGGAACAAATAAAATTTACCTGACGTTCTGCTCTAATAATTTCACCGTAAATATTTTCAGCCGTATCACGTCTATTACTTTAAAATCAAATTTTTCCTAAGAATATCGAAAAACTTAAATTTAGTTAAACAACAAAAAAAATTTCTTGACATATGTCATTTTAAATTAATTCATATTTTTAATTAAAGAAGTATTTTAAACTCTGTTTCATTCAGTAGAGTTGGTAGAGTTTTATGATGATGAGATATTTATGATGAGATGTATGATGTCTATACATCTCATCATAAATACTCGTACTTTTAAAACGTAAGCAATGCAAATTCCTCAAAAAATGACTGGGACATATATATGTGTCATAGTTTTTATTGCAATTTATTTAAAATCTATTTTGGAGCTTACATAGACCTAAGACTCGTTGTAATACCATTGGGAGACTAACCTTGCATACTCAATTCCGCCTCGGATCCTTCTTAATCACCCCTGCTGAAGCAGTTGGTTTTAATAACAAACATAAGTTGTATTAATCGTTACCTTAAGTTATATTGTTTACAAAACGATGCCTGAATTAAGTGTAGATAATCCTAGATTTTTGCATCAATATAATGCCCCATTTCACACTACATTGGTTCTTTGTGATATCACTTCGCTAAAAAATAAACTAATATTGTATTCACCTGATCTAGTACCAAGTGACTTTTGGCTATTCACTAAGTTCAAGAGACTACTAAGAGGACAACGTTTCGTTATAATTAAAGAGATAAAGAGCAAGTCACTGCAAGTCAAGAGTTTCTCAAAGGGTGCTACAATAGATCTTGGAAATTGAGGCATACCATTGTCACTTCTAATAATAATGATAAAAATTATAACAGGAATTTTCATTTTAAGCCCATTCGATCCTGGAAATATTATTTAAAATTTACTAAATTTAAAATTCGCGTTTAAATGGTCGAAAGTGAAATTGTTTATTTTCCAAATTATTTTTATTGATATTTTGTTAGCTCAGAAAACAGATGACAGATAATAGATGACAGATGATAGATATTCAGATAATAGACGCCACACAATAAAGCATCCAAAAAAATAAATAGCAGAATAAAAGCAGTGGTGAGAATAATCTGACCTAATTACAAACTCATTGAAACGGTTTTTTAGGAATATATATTTAGGAACAAAACATTTCCTATTAAAGCACATAAAGTAGCAAAATTAAATCATTAAATTCAATTAGAATTTCAAGATGTAATGAAGAAACACCAATCCATTGATATATTCGCATTTAGTAAATAGTTAAAAGATTCCAAAATCAAAAAAAGAAATTCCATATTAAGGAACAAAATACTCCTTAGAAAGCACCTACAATAGTGAAATCAAATCAAATCATATCATATTCAACTAAATGTTCTAAGTATAATAATGAAGTACAAATCCGTTGACACAATTGCAGTTGAATCATACGTGAAAGACTCATGCATTTAAAATCATAAAGACAACAAATTGTGTGAAAGCAATATATAATAGAGTTCAGTTTCACTATTCAGGCACTAACGGCGTGTTCCACAAAGCGTAAAGAGTTGCGAATTGTGTTTATCAATGACCTACAACAACACTGAAAAAAAAACAGCAAAAGATATTTATGTGTAGTCACATATATTATTATCACATGTTTAAAAAAATATTAAAAATAGAAAAACATAATTTATTTAAACTAAAGTTGCTCTAGTTTAGTTTTCTCTTCTACGCTACGCTGTCTATGCCTATTGCTCAAATTTGGAGGTGAGTTCAAGGTCAATTAAAGTACTAAAGTTCTTCCCAATTTTTTATAAACATTCAAAGACAAATTATATACACACTTTTGTCTGATTACAATATTTAATAATAAAAAAAACAAAAATATTTATTAGAAGTAGAAAAATTTTGATACTCACCATATGTACAAACATAAATTTATTGTCTTTAACTGATAAAAATTGTGTGAAAACGCTCTATAATCAGCATTCCTTCGCATACTGATGAAGACTAGTATACGTATATCAGTCCAGTCTCACTCCACAGTGAGTTTTCAGTTTCTATAAGTATTTTAAAAATATACTCGTCTGTATCTTTAGTCCTAAGGTAGTGAAATCGTTTCTGCTTATCGCAAGTATATTGCTATATGATAGCAACTATGCTATACATTCACAAATTTTCTGCTTAATATTTGTTTTTCCTCTTTTTATTAATTTTTTTTTAACGATTTTGATGTTTTTCTTATTAATATATTCTTATGATTAAAGTTTACCAAAAAAAAAAATTCTTTAAATCTTAAAATTACTGTTATGTACTTACCTCCTACCGGGTTTTGGCCTAATACCACATGTTTCTCCAGACGCCTCTGCTGTGTGCGCAGTTGCTCTACCCTCGAACACCAACTGCGATTATTGCTTCCTTAACTTGATCACCCCACCGGAAACACGGTGTACCTCTACACCTTCTTTCTCCAACTACTGCTTCAAATACGTTTTTCGCTGGAGCATCTTCATGCAGTCTCATGACATGACTGAACTAGCGAAGGTGCTGGCTGCTGATATACTGAACCATATCAATGTCGTAATAAAACTCATACAGCTCGTGGTTCATTTGGATGCGGTAGTCACAGTTATTTCGTTTGGGTCAAACATAGCCGTTATGAAATGCAGTACATTTGTATAACTTATATATAACTCCAAATAAAATTTAATAATAAATTCTTACACCACGGACCTCACCAAAACAGTTACAAAATTAGAAATTAAGACACATAAGATAAAATGATTTCCAAAATATGTTAAAATTTCTACCAACTTATAGATGATGTATCAGACGTTATTAAATATTATAAAATAATGATGTACATATTGGTGTAGTAAGTTTTTTGAGTAAGAAATTTTATCATCAAGCATTGGTTGCTTATGCAACCCGCTTTACGTCAGTGAAATGCGCATTGCTGTACAAGATTATAGGGTTTTTAGTCTTGCATTAAGCTTTAAGTCCACTTCTAACTGCACCATATAGGTGCATAGACGTTAATAGATGAAGTGATTCCCCCTTATCTGAAAATCAGTCTATAGGATACTTTAATACTTGCTTTCAACTAACAGGAATGACCCTATAAGTAGATATACTATCGCCGAAATCATCACATCTACCAAACTTATCACCCTATCAAGGATTTAAATATAAAATCATTAACAGATATAATTAGCGCTGTTAATTAATTTGTTGAAAATGCTTCTGAGTAATATTGTTATGAAATATTGTGAAAAGATGTGAACTGCGTGTTAAATAATTTTTCAAAAATACTTCTAAAGCTAATATCATTATAAAAATTTTAATTTTTAAATAAAATTATATATACATCCGAATCAGAAATAAAATACTTCCATTTTGTGACATATTTAAAAAATTTCATTTAACTGAAATGAAGTCCAACTACGTTAAACATGACGTACAGGATGAATTAAAATTTGAATACTTCTAAATAAATAATGCCATTGGGAAAACTTTACTTTTTTAATAAAATTTTTTAATGAATCTAAATCAATAAATCTAAACAAATGAATCTAAAAAATTTAGAAATTCCACGTGTGTTTTGAAATTTTTTTTTTATATTGGCGGTTTATATTCGGTTTATATTCGGTTCATATTCAAAAATAAACAAATTCACTTGTTTAAACTATGTACATATTTGTACAATATTTAATTCTTTGTCTTTACAGTGCAAAAGATTTTAGATTTCCATTATTTACAGACCCTAAAATACGGCCTTTTAAAAGTAGGTTTAAAATAGAAGGTATGTAGGTATGTACCTCCTAGAAATAAATTTAAAAATTCTTTCCGAAACACGGGTATTAATTAAAAAAAGAAATTCATAAAAAAATTCATGAAAATCGAAGGTGATAAGATCAAAAACCGTTCCGCTTCTAACAAAATTGACCAGATATTTTATTATTAAGAAATTAATACTAATTAATACAAAGGCACTATACCATATCACATAGTAAGAAATATGTATGTATAATAAATATACATACATATGTATGTAGAATTGAAGTATTTTTAAATCTACAATACTCTCTAAAACTAGTGAAATTAAGTCAACTAGCCATTTTTTTATGTTATTAACGGGGATCAACACATTCTACAAAATATTATTAAGATTAATCTACCAGATCAGTTAGTTTTGCAGTTCATAATCGTCTTCTCACCCCGTATGCCTTATCAATAATTGTAAAACGTATACAACACATATATAGACTCTTCAACACTAAAATAACCGAACATATTCTGTAGCTCCACGGAAAAGAGGAAATGAATACACAAAAAATTGCTGCTCTTGTATCTATGCACGGCTTGTTTATAAAAATAAACAAAAACAACTTACATACACATAAATATAAACAATTTTAAACTCGTGGAGAAAAACAACAACAATATGAAGAACTCAACTGGACAGGCCCCCTTTTTGACAAAAAAGCAATATTTGTAATTTTATAAGAAAGCAATGTGCTGTTGTTGTTTTTGCCTTTAACAATCTTGTTATTATGTTTGTACTTTTTAATTTTAATTGCAATGGCAGTGTTATCAGTTTTTTTTAAATGCATACATACATATGTGTGTACATATTTTTCATACAAATTTTTTGATATTTTAAAATAGTAATTATTTTGCTCCTCTCGTTTTGTGAACTGTTTTTTTAATTATTGATAACATCTTCAATACTAGTTTATTGTTGACAAACATGTTTTTATTTAAAAGTTTCAAATTTTAATTTTTTTTATGTACAATATTGTTTAATTTTTTTTATATAGTATACATATACCACGAATATATTAAACTCTAAATATGCATGTATTGTACTCTCTAATAGAAATGTGCGATTAAATTGTATAATTTAATCGATTTATCAACCGATTTGGATGTTTTGAAACAAAACATATAAGTCTTGTCTTGATTACTTCAATTTGCAGTTGATCTTGGCAACAACATCTGAATTACGTAGCATGAAGAAAGTGCGTTCAGTGTAGCATCCAAAACAATTCTTTAAGTAGTTGGGCAAACGTGTATACACCCAAAGCAATTGGTTAAGTACAATTTGTGTGTTGAAGCACATAATATGGCATTTACACTGGCCTTAAATGGCTCATTTCAAATGAGTCATTTGAAAGTGTTTACGTGCGTTGTAATTCATTTGTTCTCATTTCAAACATTAGATTTGTCAACTTGCCTGTTGGTTTGATTTTTGGCCTCTACTAAAAAAATGTTCGATGAAGATTAAATATACCTTCAAACCTTACAATATAAACTGAAAACTTATTTTTAGCTTTGATTAATTTATTTTTGGGAAGTAGAAGTTCCAAAAACCAAACATTTGTTTACCTGTTTTTGTAAATACGTCAAAAACAGCTTTATCAAATTGTCAAAACTGCGATGAAGAGCTTTTATATAGGGTGTATTCACTAGCATTTGGACCATATTTGGAACTCATACTAACCTCGTTGGAACTCATTTATACAGAATGAGATTCAATGAATCCCATTTGAGATTTTGTAGGCAAAAATGAGTTATTTGCTTCTCATTTTTGGCCAAAATGAGCTATTTAAGGCCAGTGTAAACGCCATGTAAGTTTCACAACCAGCATTTAACATCGGGGAATATTGAAAATATAATCGCGCTGTTATTGAAAGTAATCGCGGATAAGCTAGCAAATTTAATACAAAATAATGTTTCGTTTCAAGTATTTGTCTCTCTAGCCTCGCAAAATGATCGCGAAAAATCTTATTTCAAGTTATTAACAAAAATAAGTTATTATTCTACTATAGTTATTAAGTTATTATGATCGTCAATGCTGGCAGAATTGCTACGAAACAGTTTAACAGCTGACAATTGATTTGTACGTTATTACTTGTACACTCTTCATTATTGATATAGAAACACATAAAGTTGTCGAACATATGGATGCAAATATATGTATATACTGTCAAGAAACTTAGCGTAGTGCCATAATTTAGTAGAATATAATTTATGTTGTCAGATTTTAAATTAAAAAAAAAACAATTTCTATACACAGTTTAATAGTTTCTTGTTCCGCATATGCATACAAATATGCATATACATATGTATGTAATTTTACGAAAATATTTTGAAAACTGCATCCTATAGTACCAATGTTCCACAAGTTTTTTGAACATTGTTGACTTGGTCGAAGACATGCTAGACTAACGATTTCTGTAGAAATCGTCACCGTAGGAGATGCATATAGCATTCCACCTCCTCTCTACAAAAAAAAAAAAAAATAAAGCAAAAATACAAAAGAAGTGCATACATGTAATCGAAACCATTATGCGTTGTCTTACTGAATAGTAAGCCAGTCAACTTGATATTTAATTAAATTTATTTGTTAAAAAATTTTTGAACCAATAGATGGCAAAGCTAATTACACAGAATTGACGACAAAATTCATGAGCTATCGCATTTAATTATTTATTAATTAATCTCAAAGTAAATATTTCACTTCATAAAACCTTTTGATATTATGTTTTTAATAAGATAAAAGTTTCTTCTCTTATTAATAAATATTCATAAATAAAAAAAAAATTGATAAAAATTTATACATATATTAACGTTGCCCGTTTTACTGTTATTTACCACATTTTATTGAAATATAGGTTCAATTGTCGTTTAAATAAATTGACTTTATATATATGTGTATGTATGTAAATAAATTTTAATATAAAATTTTATTTCTCTTTTGTAAACAAATTTGTTTTAGTTTATTTGAATTATGCAGTTCTTGCTATTTTATTATCATTTTGTGAGTATGGTGTACTCCCAAATCAAAAACCATAGTTTTTCAATCTATTTTAATTTAATTGTTCCATAGTGCATTGCTACATACAATATTTATTCTAATGAGAAAAATTTTCTTATCAGCTAAAAGTGCATTTCACTATGCAAATGGTATGCTGTGCGCTATTATTTAACAGGTTTGCTATTAATTATTATTATTAATTACATATGCATGTGTATGTCGCCATCTACATATATTAGCGAGGCTTAAGTGCCAGTCTAGTTTAACCACAAATTTTTTTCTTACATTATTGTTGTTGTTGTTTATTTTGTACTCTTCTCCTTTTTATTTAAATTTTGTTTTGAATTTCTATTTCGCTTTGTGTTTTTTTTGGGTTGTTTATTTGTTATCACATTTTTTGTAAGCAAACTGTTGTTGTAGTGCTGCTTATGCCGTATGTATTCTTCTTCACTATTGTCTCTCTTCTCTTCTGCTGGACTGGTCTATTTAACAGCACATATTTGCACCACAACGCTTATTCAAACTTTTTGACTGTTTAGTCAGTGAAGTTGTTTGGTTGATGGTTGACTGCAAACAGTTGGCAGTCAATAATTGAGGTTGATACACTGTGCCCGGTGCAATTATTTAATAAATTAGCTTTTCAGTGCAATTTGTTTTTTATTTGGAAATTATTTAAATTTTATTTAAAAAAATAAACAAAAGTAAGTATTTATTTACTGTTTAAAAGTAAAGATAACATTTATATTTCATTAAAATTTACTTAATTATACAAAATACTACGTAAATCCATTTAAAATCTAAAAATATCAAAAATTTTGTTTGAACAACTTTTTATTTGGCGTTCAGTGTTTAATATGTCATATGATAAAATTTGTATTTTTAACTTAAAAAAAAAATTATAGCAACAAATAAAATTTGCCAAACACGTGTGGTTTAAAAATAAAAAATTATCAAAATTGAAAAAAAATTACTTTGTTCTATACTCGTACATACAACAAAAACAAAAAAAATAAAATAAAACGAAACCAAAGCGAAATTGAATGAGTACAACAATTTATATGAAGATTATCTGGTGGGTGTGCTTCAGAGTACAAACACACATGCGGTTTACAAGTTAACCGGTAAATAATCTCATAAGGGCTCAACATTGAACACAGAAGTCAAAAGTTATCAACAAATCTTATATAGACACATACTGCTTACGTCCACTCAGAGGAAGCTGTGTGGTGTACATTAAAACTGTGGAATCTTATGTATATTAAAACTATATTACGAAGATCCGTGGAACATACTTTTGTATGGTTTTCAACCTATTGTATGTATATGTATATTTCTGCCAAATCTACAATCTACAATGAGTTGCTGACTTCTGATAAAACCAATTCCAATTAAAATAATAACCAATCCACATGACACGAATAAAACTACATTAACTGATCGGGATCTAACCATTGCTTTCGGCAGTCGTTGACCGACCGCACTTCTAAGCAACTTTTTCTACAAAGCTTAAAGTCGTCATAGCTTAGTTTTCGAGATATCAGCATTTAAAGCTGTAAACTTTTTATTTACTACAATAATAAAATAATGTAATCGTGCCATCTAGTGAGAACTAATGAGTGGAATTTTGCAGACGTTTTTTGTTTTGTTTATAATCTATGGTATTATACAAGATTACGATTTCCTAGGTGTCGCAACTTGACAATGAATTCTTACAATGGCTGCACATCTAAGCAACTTTTCCTACAACGCTATATGTAACTATAATTTAATTCTTAAAATCTCAAAATTTAAAGCTGTAACTTTTCAATTATTACAACAAGAAAGTAATTATGCCATCTAGCGACCATTAGTAGCTGAAGTTTTCACAACATATTTTTTTATGATTTTAAATCTATTATACATATATTTAGCGGAACAACAATTTACAACATACAAACATCTGACTACTACTGAAAAAGTAGCATAATAGCCTATTCACACGTCACAAATTAATAATCATGAGATCCTAATCCGGTTTAAGTTATTGTTGTTTTTGGAACAATTACGATTTTTTGCGCATTGCAATATCATGAATTTTTTAAGAAACACCTTTCTGAGCAATTATTTACAACAGACAATACTGTATATCAATATAGTTTGATTTTCAAGATATACAGCATTAAGTTGCAAACTTTTCACGTCGATTAGATAAACAACACCATCCAGCCACAACTACTATATGAATTTTTTAAAACGTATTTTTATGTTTTTTAAATCTATTACATACGACCTACAAAAATGGAGATAACTGACATAAGACTAGTTAATCATTATGAACTACTGATTTGGCTTAAGTTGTAGTGTTGTTGTTGGCAATTTTGAAGCGCTAAGATAGATATAAAAATTTGAATCCAAAATCAAGCAATATCGACATATATTGTTATGAAAATATTGGTCACATTAGACCTTTGTGAATAACGCCATCTAAAAAAGTTGTTACACTACACTATATGTCAAAAGATCGTGGATCATAGATGGTACATACTATATAACCAGAAATGTTATCTCTTTTGGGTGCGTTAGCCTCTCGGTATCTTTGGTACTTATACGATCACAGTAAGCAGTTTCATTATAGATCATTTCATATGATGAGGTAGAATCTACATATTGCTTTCCAATTTTCTTTTTTTCAAAAATAAATTTTTAAAGAAATTATATTCTACACAATGAATTATTCTTTCATAATTTGTGCAAAATCACTAAGACTTGAAAGCAAACGGCATTTCCATATCGGTTGAATAACGTAAACTAAAGCTTTAAAATATTATCAGATTATAAATAAAATATTACATATTTATGTTACTGAGATCGCGTTAACAAATTATTTTGTCGAAAGCAACACTTCCCTCCGGGTGTTTTCATTTGTCGCTTTGCTCTGATTGCATCTTGCAATAGCTTTTTCGTCTTACAACCACACGATATGCCCAAACCAACGAACCCACTAAATATTGATGTACTAAGTCAATGTTGAGTCAATGTTGTGATAAAATTAGTACAGCTTATGAGTAATTTGGATCCAACTCCTAAATATTTGGTAGAATCCAACTCATAAAGGACCAACGGTCTTACGAAGAACACTCATAAGAGTGTTTTCGAACACTTCCAGTGATGCCTCATCATCCTGTGATCGCACGAATTGGTTAAGCAACCTATAGCGTGTCAGTTTTCGCAGTCGAAAGAGATAGAGACAGATCTACATCGGAATAGCTTACCAAGTTGTTTGTTCAGCAACCTGACATCGTTATCAACTGCTTTAAAAGTATAGTAGATGGCAACCAGTAGGTAGTCTAATTGACATACATTTCTGATAGTTGCCAACATTAACTTATTTTTGCTCTCATTTACGGTCAAGTCTATTTTTACAAATATCTTTTTAATATCAGCAAAAGCGTTAGTGAGATCACACATGTTACGTCCAATGCCGTCAATGTCATCAATTATTCATTGACGGCAAACTTATTTATTCCCAGTGTCACCGACTTATCAAACAGCCCACGTATATTTATTTATTCAATATATAAATCGGTTTTAATTTAAATTTGCTAAATTAAATTATAACACCTATTTATTTGATTTATTTTTCCGTAGGTCAAAAAGAAAACTAAAATATACAAAATGGCAGCTGCAGAGGATCGTAAGTGCAATCAAAATTATCCATTTTGTTTGCTGTTTGTTACAGTTACATGTTGTTAAATCCTAAAAAGTGATCCTTAATATCCTTTCTGCACATCCAGATTGCTAACAATGCAATGTGTATTTTTTTGTTTGTATTTTACTGCCCGCAAAATTAATGTCATTAAATTAAGCTTTTCATTTATATGTATATACATGTATATGATTATATCAATATCGTCACTCACATATATCGTATATGTGTATATAGTAAATTCTTTCCTCACAAAATGCTTGAACAGCCCTATTTAGAACAATTATTTAACCAATATAGCATTGATTACTGACTAAATGTTCTGGAAAATTTTTTTAATAGTACAAAGATCAAAATTTTCATATATATTTTTTGAACTGATTTGGCTATTTTGTTAAATAATTATATATTGATAAGAGCATTTGAATGAAAGTGTTTTGGAATGAATTTGTTTTTATCATTTGAATGCCACAGCTTAGTTTAAATAATTTTGTCACTAACACTTTATTCTCTTCTATATTACTTCTAATGATTTATATAATATGTTATTATTGTTTTGTAGACTAAATACATAATATTAAGTTTTTTTATAATATATATGTACAGTACACGCATATAATATATAATAAAATATAATATATATAATAAAAAATAACACATATAATAAAAAGTAATATCTATAATAAAAAATAATAGAAAGATTTTAAACAGTAGTAAACTTCAACAACAAAAATTCATTTTATATTATTTTAATTAATTGAATTTGTAGCTGACCATACAGCTGTTTCGAGTACCCATTGCCAAGTACCCATTGCCAAGTACCCATCATCAGTGGTCTTGGAACTATTTCTTGTATTTAAAATTTAAATAAATAATTTTTTGAGACTGCAAGTACCAGGGATTAAACTCGTACTCTGTCAAATTTGAAGCTCAAAGTCAGCGCTCTTGTTGTTGTAGTTTACTACTGTTCGAAACCTCTATATTAAATACCACAGTTTATGTTAAAGTAAAAATAGTTACTACTGTCGTATTGACATTAAAATCAAATTTAATATAAAAAATAATTTATATAATAAAAAATAGTACATAACAGTAGTATTATTAGCTTAATTTTTACTTCATTTTAAATTTGTTGTATTACATAAAAATTAATAACAATTATGTTATATATATAAAGCTTACAGCTATGGCTGTATATATATATATGTATTATATACATATAATAAAATGTTGTAAAAGAAATTGTATATAATAAATTATATATCTATATGTGAATAAAAAATTTCCCAACAAAGTATGAACGAACTATACCTAAAGAGAAATAATAATTTTAAATAAATAAAATGTATATGTAAATAAAATTACATATGCATACACATTATTATATACGTATATATATAAATATATATTAAATTTTATGTATACTTTTTCTATGTATATATTATTAAATTTTAATTTCTTATAACACCCTAACGAGATAAATAATAAAACTAATTAATAGCAACAATAACAACATAAACAAAAGAGACTGACCTACTCATCCTTTAAGATGATCACCCATTCTAACAGAGACTCGAAAAGCTTACAAGGTTCCGAAAAGTCTTAAAAAAACAATAAAAGGAGTATAAATACTGTATTTTAATAAATTGTTTTACTAAAAAAATAAGTCCCTAACTGAATAGGAAACAATATGTCCGCTTATTAAAGATGGAAAGCCCTATTAAGAAATTTCTGATTACTAATAAGGTTAAAATGTTGTTGTTGTAATGTTGTTACAGTACTGTTCTCCTATCGCAGAGCAAAACTGTACACTTATTTAAAATATAACAAAAAATTTTATTCCCCTTTAGACAGAGACAACATTCTATCATCAGATAAGCCCATTTTATTAAAATAAAAACCTTGAAAATAGCTTCCATTGAGACAACTTCATAAATCATAATAACATAAATTGTATATAATATCATTATTGTACATATAAATATATATGATCTACTTAGAACTCTCCATTCTCTTTCAAGTAAAAGCTATATTAATAGAATTTCTACAAAACAAAATCTCCGCTTTGAACCTACATTATTAATTCTATTAATATTTGTGTGCCATCAGTACCACTTGAACTCTCTCGCAATAGAAGTGCTACAATCTTTAAGAACGTTTCAAGGGTAAAGATTTCAACCAAATGATTAGTAGTTTTAAGACAATTTATTCTCAAAACAATTGCATAAATCAAAGGGGACAACAACAATTATTTTCCTTGAAATATCTATTGTTATTTAGATGTTATTGTTATGCCCCGCAGAAATCTATAAAGTAGATAACATGAAAGACATTACAAAGACATATACATGGGTTAGAATGTGGATATGTAATGTTAGTGTGAAAGGGGAAGAGATTGTTTAGGAGTAATAATATATTGGGAATTAGTGGGATTTAAATTAAACTCAACCCCAAGAGCACAGCGAAGAAACCTAGCCACTTCAATGGGACAGACGAAAAGACCGATTAGTCTAAGTTGGTGTGTGCATTGAGGCAGGAAAATATATGGGCGACACCATGGATAGTAGAGCTGCAATTAAGGCACACATTGGGAATTGACGTAATAAAACTGCAAGTGCTATTTACAAGAAAATATTAAATTTTCCGTACCAATAACAGAAAAATTGAAATATCTATATTATTATAATTATTTCCCTGACAGAGTTAGGAACATAAAGGCCTTAATGTTTGTCGCTCCTTCCATTCTCGGTCTCCAGTTCTAAATTCTGAGATATCATAAATATTTAGTTATATATGCATTTATTAAGTTGGTTCTTCATAAAAGAGTACTATCTCAATTATTTGGCATATGTAGGAACATTCCAATGAGATAATATTTTTTATAAAATATATATATCATAATCCAGCATCAACGTATCGAAAACGTATTATAAACTGGAATAAAGCATATGTTTATTTTTCTTCCCGAAAACCTTCTATACCTACATATTTGAATATTTCGGATTGCTTACCTAACCAAGCGTATTTGATACAAAAGAAATTACTTCAATTTCCCGGATAATGCAGATAATTACGGTAATCGTCTTAAATTTGCTTAATTATTTCCTGAAGTTTAATGTCCCCGATTAATTAAGTCACTGCTAATAAATATATGTCTGTAATTCTAGTTATTGTGTTAATCAATTTTTAGAACTTTTGCATTACTTTTGCGCTAACATGCTCTGTTTATTAATGCCTAAGCCTATTTTATTTTGTTTGAACTAACAGTATTGTAGTACTAACACTTCTATTATATACTTTTTCCGAATCGTTCTAAAAAATCTAATTTTCGTATTTATTTTTACAACGTATAGCAAACATGACTCAACAAGGTCCAGCCTTTGATTCGAATGCAATGACTTTAACGCGTTTCGTTCTTCAAGAACAACGCAAATTCAAAAATGCAACTGGTGATCTCTCCCAACTCCTGAATTGCATACAAACGGCCATTAAGGCTATCGCATCCGCAGTACGAAAGGCAGGAATTGCCAAATTACACGGCATTGCAGGCGATACCAATGTACAAGGTGAAGAAGTTAAAAAACTCGATGTACTTTCTAATGAGCTGTTTATAAATATGTTAAAATCTTCCTATACTACGTGTTTATTGGTTTCTGAGGAGAATACTGACTGCATTGAAGTAGAAACGGAACGTCAGGTAACTAAATTTATTCGATTGACACTAATTTTCTGTGCGTGTTAACATTGAAATTTTTGTAGGGTAAATATGTCGTTTGCTTCGACCCATTGGATGGTTCTTCAAACATCGACTGCTTAGTATCTATTGGTTCCATTTTTGCTATATATCGTAAAAAAACCGAAGGTGTGCCCACAGTAGATGATGCATTACAACCCGGTAATCAAATTGTTGCTGCTGGTTATGCGCTTTACGGTTCAGCAACAGCAATAGTTTTGGGCTTAGGTTTCGGCTCTGGTGTTAATGGTTTTACTTATGATCCGGCGATTGGTGAATTTATACTCACAGATCCAAATATGCGTGTACCAGAAAAAGGTAAAATCTATGCCATAAATGAAGGCTACGCTGCAGATTGGGAAGCAGGCGTTTATAATTATGTTGCCGCTAAAAAAGATCCCACAAAGGGTAAACCGTACGGTGCACGTTACGTTGGCTCAATGGTAGCTGATGTACATCGGACCATTAAGTATGGAGGCATTTTTATTTATCCAGCTACAAAATCTGCACCAAATGGCAAATTACGATTACTCTATGAATGCAATCCCATGGCATATCTAATTGAAGAAGCTGGCGGACTAGCCAGTAATGGTAAAATTGGCATATTAGATATTGTACCACAAAAGATACACGAACGATCACCGATATTTTTGGGTTCCAAAAAGGACGTGGAAGAAGCTCTAAGCTATCTACAATAGTTTCGATTGTCAAAACAATTCTATATGTGCCTTATACAAATTACTCTCCACTACTATATGTTCAAGTTATAGACTGTATCATTTTTTTAAGCTCTAAAATATAGTTTTTTTTAATAATTGACAAAACGAAATTGTTATAAAAATAAAAATAATTATTATATACATAAACATAATTTATTACTTCTATTACCTTTTTTACAAGTATAATCGAATCCCCAGACCTTTTTTTAATACTCTGGAATTATTAACAAAATAATGCTATTACCTATCTCAACTACAAAAACCTCTTTTATTTATTTACGACCATCTTACAGTTTTGTTTTAATTTTCTAAAAATACATACTTTCATCACATATATTTTGTTATATCTATCTCAGCATTATTAGGACTGATTTATAGTCCTAATCTTGGATAAATCAATTATCCGTTTTTTATAACAATGAAACTCAAATCCGCCTACATATTCAAATGGTACCATAATCAGTAGAGTCATCCCCACACAATGCATCTGCCCTTCCTTTTGTTCGCATCATTAATACATCGTCTCCAACTACAACGAAAGTAATCAGTCGGTCCCAAGATCGGCTTGGTCTACGTCCTGGAGCCACTCTTCAATTTCGACAACCAAGTGTCGTCCAAAACCCGCCAAAGAAACTTCACAAGCAGGTCACCCCGCAGGCTACAACAACAACGAAAGTAAGATCAGGTATGTCGAATGTCGACAAGGACTAACATCCTACATTTGTACCTCATCAGTGTCTTGAGTTCACAGTTGCGTCGCTATAAAACTCTCAACAGACTTCTGTCTGAAATCTATACAATTTGAAGGCGGTTTGCAACGAGCAGCAAGACTAAGCAGGCCTGCCCCAATTCAAAATTAAATTTAATTTCAATGAGAGCAGGAACTGTAATTGTAGTGCTCTTGATGTCACACATCGTTTTCGCTAATATATACACAAGCTGTAGCCGTTTTGATTTATGACTGCACTTAATTAAGTTAGCAAGATTTATTCATCTTTAGTTAATTTTACAATAACGCTTTACCTACATTTTACACACTCCTTTCAAGGACTCTCAAAATCACAAATACATTTCAACCGAGAACCTATCCCTCATCCCATCTCATGTATTTGCCTTGTAACGATTTTATGTATCTATTTATTGAGAAATTGACTATAATTCGTTTAGTCTAATTAAGATCTAGTCTGATCTTTATGTTGTGATTGAAGAAAACTTTTTTTAATAATTTAGATTAGATTAAATATATAATTAGATATCAAGGAGGGTTGAGGAGCACATGGTATATGGTTTGTATAGACTGGAAAGGATACGAATTTATTTAGGATGTATATCATTGGAACTGAGTAGGAACAGAAGGAACAAGAATAATGAGAATCATTTGATATTTGGATCATTTGTTCATGGATAAATTTTGTTTATCCGTTTTATATTCCTGATTTATATTCGCAAATTGCAACATGGATATGTATTTATATATAATACGTATATATTAATATATATATGGTATATATTTTCGTGACTGGAGGACAAGTACTTCAGATCAAATACTATTTTAAAATGAATTCGTTCGCTTATTCGTGACTCAACAATACCACGATGATATTACGTCTATTCCGCGTTGTTAAATATTGGTTGGTAACCAGTAATAACACACACAAATACCACAGTAGCCTTACTTCCTATAGTTTCAGAATGCATTTGTAGTTGCAGGATTTTGATATTTAATTTAACAAAAGATAACAGTAATATATTTCTTACATACTATATATAGTTAATATGAATTAGCTTTATGTTTTGGCACAAAAGTGAAACCTGCCGGTCCTTTCCCTAATAGCATTTCACTTATCTTCATCCAATCCTGCGAGTTTGATGACAACAAAAGTGTTTCCATTTCATCACGACCACGAAAATATTGTGGTCGTTGATTAATTTTTTGTGGAGGATTTGCTAACAACTCATAAGGCACATATCGATACAAAAATGATATCCATTCCAATAAGAAACGACGTGTAGTTTCCACACCTCTTGTATCAGAACCCCAATGTTCTAAACCATAGTTTACATATTTCTTTAATATTTCAAATCGTTCTGTGGAAGTAGGCATCCAATGTTTTTGTTCTTTTATTTCTTTAAAAATCCAAGGTTTAATTAGAGCACCACGACCAATCATCACAGATGAAACATGCGGTGCAGTTTGCTACAATTTGAAAAAAAAATATAAAATATTTCATACATTTTAATCACGAGGTATTCACCAGACATGCGTTGTAATCCTCAAAATTGTATATATCTCCATTTCCAATAACTGGTATACGCTTGACCTTACTTGCACATTCTTCTATATACTGCCAATTTGCGCTTTTTAAGTAACGTTGTTCACGTGAGCGACCATGCAACTAATATAATATACTTTATTTAGTACTATAAGCAGTAAAATCTCATTAAAACTTACTGTCACAGCTGTTGCCCCCCATTCTTCAACGCGGGGTATCAAATCGTGTGCTAGATTCTTATCCTTATATACGCCCGTGCGCATTTTTACCGTGAATGGTATCTTTTGGGATAATGCCGAACAGGTACGTACAGTCAGTTCTAATATATTAGTACGGCGCATAAGTGCACTACCACCGCCTTGTTGATATATTAAATCTATAGGACAGCCGATATTTAAGTCAATGTAATCAACTTTTGTAGTTTCCTGCAGTAATTGGGCTGCTTGCGCAATTGATGTAGGATTGTTACCACATAATTGAACACCAAATATATCTTCAGATTCATGGCGTTTTGTTAAAGCCCATTCCTGTTTTAAACCCTTTAATAATGGTATTGCACAAGCCATTTCACCACAAGTTATATCCGCACCGAACTCTTTGCATATACGACGAAATGGCAAATTACCAACTGTAGTCAAGGGTGAAAGAATTAACTTATTTGAAAAATCAATTGGCGGGTTTCTATCTCCATCTCTGTTGCCTAAATTAAAGTATGATCCTAAGCCGAGAGGTACAGCAACAGGAACCTTTCCGTCACCTTCTATTTGTCTAGTTATTTTAAGTTTTTGGTCACGTATCTCTTCGAATTGAGCAAGAAGATTCTTACACTTTTTGAAGTCATATTCCCGTTTCCGCAACAAATTTTGAAGTTCTGTTATCATATAACAAAAATATAATTATACGCACATGTAGATGAATAAATAACTATATCAACTACCTGGTTTAATGCCATTAAATGTCGTAGGACCCTTTGTTTCATCATAATGCGTCGCTTTAATATTATGACCGTCAGCATCTAAATGCGACTTTGCGAATCTGCAAGTAACACCACGCATACAATAGCCTTTTGCTTTGAAAATTGGACATTCATCACCAATATCCTCAGCTTTTTCAGACATAAAAACCTCCAAATTATGCACAAAAATGCAGTTTTGGTCACTACACTTATTGGTAGTATCTCCATTTATCAATGAATTACAAAGTTGCGATGCGCGGTCGTCTTTATAAACTGGACGCTTCTGTTTGCAGAATAAATAAATATATTTAAAAATGTTCTTTCTTAACTTTTCTGTTTTGTACCTTATTTTGTCCACGTTTCCTGCCCTTATGACCAGTCTTCTGATATTTACTATTTCCACCGCTTTCATCATTTTGAGCCTGCGAATCTACCGACTTACGTTTATTAGTTGCCGCGTCAACTTCGGCGACCCGCACTTCTGGTACTAAATACCTTAGCACAAAATCTTATTTTAAAATATAACTACGGTTTTTGCGTGTTCGTACTTACTCTGGTTTAATATAGCAGATGCCTGGATCCATTTTATTTTTAATATATATACTATATTAAAAAATGAACCAAATAAACAAAACTTACGCTTGGCGTTTGTTTGTCAATAAAGCATTACACACGTGCAAGCGGTTAACGCAAAGTAACCATGTGTAGTAATGTTCTTCTACCACCGGAGCCAAGATAGCATTTATACTGGGAGGTCCAAACCGGAATTGGAACACTAAATTTTTCTATGTTTATTAATTTGTCAAAATCTGCTAAATTTAAGCTTTTTCACCAAATAAAGTATGTTATTTAGATAGAAAACTCAATAATCAGTTCAATAATAAGCTGAGATATTCAAAAAATAAAAATAAACAAATTTTTTTAAATAATCCGGCTTTTCTTACTTAAAAAATTATTAAAAAACAACTAAAGGAGGAACCGAACGAGACGAATATTCACCTGAAACGCAATAAAACAAGCTTTTTATTAAAATCAAAATCAGGTAGAATTTATGCAAAATCATGCTAAAAATTTACATCAAAACTGCTTAAATATCAATTAAATCAAAAAACTAAAAATTAAAAATACATTATAAAACATAATTTCAAAACCTTAATAGCATATTTTACTTTTATCATAAAAAATTTATGAAAAATAGCATTTTTTTGAGTTACCTTACTCTAAGAGGAACCGCAATGTTATAAATTTTATTCTAAAGATAAAATTTCCTTTTTAAAAAGTTCAAAATCGTAAAAATCGTGCACGCTGTTTTTCCACAATTATTTTTGAAAAACTGTCTATTTTTTACCAAAAATCCAATTATTTGAAAAAGAAACTGTGAATGTGTATCATATCACTAAACGCGGTGTAAACTCAAGGCAAGGGTGCCAGCGCCATCTATATTTCAAGTATGAATATGATGTTTGTTTATTTTATGCATTTGTTGCGAATAAATGAATTAATAAAAAATTGAATAGAATGAGCAACTTTCTTATCTAAAAAAATTAATTTAAAAACAAGCTATAATACTTGTCTCAAGTAACAAAGTAAGTTCTGTTACTTAGCTGCTGTAAAAAGTATTGTACTTCAAGTGCAGATATCGTATATAGAACTGACTTATTTTATTGCTTTATACTAAAATTTTTTTGAATTCATATAATTAACTGGTTTAACTAATTATTTCATATCTTACATAAATATATACAATTACTAGATAACCCGACAAACGTTGTTTTGCCTTATAAATTATTTCTAGTTTCTAGATAAATTCTAGTGTAGACAAAAAGTAAGTCTGTGGTATATGCATGAAATAGGCATGGAGCGCTATGAACGAAAAGGAAAATAAAAATAACAAACGCCAAACAATATTATTTTTAAGTTATTATAGTTTATTTATTAAATTATTAATTTAAAATCAATAGATTTGTATGATACCAAGTTCCCTGGCAACAACTGTTGTATCTTCAAATTTAAATTGTCTTGGATTGACTCTAAATAATAATAATGATAATGGGCCAGTAACATTAACCAACAACAGTTGAAGATAAAAGCACTCAGTGTGTCTTGGATTAACTGTAAATAAGCCTTCGATTTAAATAAATTGAGACATGCATCAACTGGTGAAACTTGCTTGCGGGGCATCCATTTTTTTGTTTGAGCCCATGTGAAATAGCGTGGTACTTGTGAATATATCCGTCGGTATTTGTTATAGTATCATTAGTGAAATCTTTAGAAAAATTTTTAGTACATTTTCCATCTGCCATCCAAGGCGAAGACGAAGAAACGAAGTGGATGTAAATGCTCGATGTACTTGTTGGCGTAGTTACATAAAATATTAAGAAAAAAATTTTTCTTTTTCAAATATATAAAAAAATTTATGTCCAAAAAATAAAAAAGTTTTTGTTAAAGCAATAAGGATATTTTTGCTGGGTAGGGACTCCCTAATCACTTTAGCGGTATGAAAAATAGATAGTAGCCGATTCTCAGACCTACTGAATACGCATATAAAATTTGGTAAAAATCGGTAAAGCCGTTTCGGAGGAATACGGTAACTAACATTGTGACATGGAAATTTTATATATAAGACCGCAAACAGACATCGTTTGGCCTTATGACTTATTGATGGTCTTTGCAAATGCCAATCTAATAGAAAATTTAACGCGTTTGAATTAAATTGGCTTGTCTGTGAGAATCATTGGAATTCGTGGCAATAAAACTTTTTTGTTTCGGAACTTGCCATTCAAAATGGTGGCTTCGATAATGTTTTTCATCAATTTTTTAATTTCCAATCGCGTACTATTGCATAGCCGTGGTGGGTTCAAATTCCGAAGTAAAATAATCGGTGATCCAACTTTCAGTCGTAAAATGTGTGGTGGCATGCCTGGCAAATCCAGTGAGTTTAAAAACTCTGCTGGATAGTTTACAACTTCGTTGGTATCACAAACTGTATCGATCGATTTGTTTGATATTAAGTCGCCTGGCAATATCTGTTTTATCTTGAAGTTTAATTCATCAACGTCTACATTTTTTTGCTGCTAATGGCTCTTTCTGCCAGCCTCCATGATTTATGTATAGTATGTGTACATCTAGAAATACGCGGTCAATGAGAGCATTAATGCATTATTAACGATAATGCAGATTTTAGGGGGCAGTTTTATGAATTCAGTATTTTCATAGACAACAACTTTTCATATCATAGCAAGTTTTTCTTTTTCAAAAATATAAAAAAATTTATGTCAAAAATATAAAAAAATTTTTGTTAAAGCAATAAAGATATTTTTGCTGGATAGGGACACCCTTATCACTTTAGCGGTATGCAAAATAGATAGTAGCCGATTCCCAGACGCATATAAAATTTGGTAAAAATCGGTAAAGCCGTTTCGGAGGAGTACGGTAACTAACATTTTGACAATGTTAATTTTATATATAAGATAAGCATAATTTTTTTAAAAAAACATCTATTATTATTTGTTGACTGTAAAATAACTTTTATTTTATTTTGCTAATTATAATTATATAATTATATTAATTAATTAATTAATTGGATAATTTTAGTAATTCTGTTATTTATAATGTACTGTAATGCCAGATATAATATTAGTTTTTATAGTCGGCGGTTCAAAGTAATAATAATAATATTGTGAATGGACGCAAAAAATCTTTTTTAGGTTATGATAAACTTATGTCAATATTCACGGATGTAAATAAATGCTGCAATGGATGAATGTGACGAGATATCTTTACCTAGTGATACTTTGAAAATATTGCATGAATTTTTGCAAGAAAAACAAAAACGAGAGGAAGATGAGCAGCACAAAATTGAGAACAAATTGGGTAAAGAAGCCACCTTTGAGGAAAATTGGGTAAAAACTATTAGCGATACTTATGCTTATAGCTAAAAAGTAATGTTTTCACTTTATTTGTGTAGCAACTAAGTCAATTTTGGTACAGTAAAAGCACAAAAAAGATTCTGAGTTCAGTCGTAAGAAAATTGGTCGATAACGCTACAAAAGACAATTTTAAAATAGCGTTATTATCGTGTCCTTCACTGTATTGTGTTGTAAAAGAAACGCATCCCAATGGTATTAGTTTTCGGACATTATATTTCCAATCTAACGCTATTTTTTTTTCAGTTAAAATATTTGAATATGATAAGCGATTTTCTGCGTATGGAGATGATTTCATATTTTATGATATAAACGAAGCTATCACATTAACGCACCTCCAAGATGAATGGAATAGTTTTGATTTAATTATAGCAGACCCGCCGTTTCTATCAGAAGAATGTATTATAAAAATTTCTGAAATTATTACCAACCTTGGGAAAGACAACTCAAAGATAATATTTTGCTCAGGAGCAACAGTAGAAACTTGGTTAATCAAATATTTAAATTTAAAAAAATGTCGGTATCGCCCTGAACATGAAAGAAACTTGGGAAATGAATTTGCCACTTATGCTAATTTTGAACTGGATAATTTTATTGAATTATAAAAAAAATGTATTTGGCTATTAAGAATTTTTCAAAATCAATAAACTAAATTTATATGACTGCACTAATACAATTTTGTGTGAACGATAATAAATATATGGTGTCAAAGTGTTAAATGCTCAAATTCTACTTAGTAGAGTCAGCATCCTTGCGTTGCTGTACTAGTTCACGTAAGCCATCCTCTTGGTCCTTTAGTGATTTTGCTAAGAACTCCTTCTTTTTGTTGAGCAAGATAATAGCTTTATCACATTTTTCTTGTTTCTGCTTCAAATCGTTACGCATATTTTGAACATCTGTTAAAACAAACATGCGACCAACCGAAAGGTAAACTCTTAATAAGAGAAAATTATGTTATGACCAAAATCAATGACATAAAAATTTATTTTACCTTGTGTCATTAGTCAAATCGCTAGTCCCCTTTTCTGTTAATTGATATTTATGTTTACCGGTCTTGACCATATCACATTTCATATCAATCATATTCATCTTTTTTGTGGTTTCAATTTTGTTAATTTGCATTTCGGCGAAAGCCTTAAAAATAAAGGTTTTTAACATTTCACATAGCTTTGATTTTAATTTATTTTACCTTCTTTAATTCTATATCCATTTGTGCCATTTTGTAAATCGTAAGCTTTTAAATACACCTTATTTAGAAGAGAATCAATTGGCGTGCGTTTGTTACTTCGCCCACAAGTTTTTATGTTTTTTTCTCAATGCAATTGTCAAAATCTGACATGAATTTTTATTGTGAATAAATATTTTCATTTGACAGAACATTTTTTACTGACTATTTACAATAGAAAAAGCTACTCAGAAAAGAATATTTTTGCTATTCTTTGTTACTACTTTGTTACTAACAGTAAAAACTGACCTGTATTTTTATTATAGAATTTTAATCGCTTCAAATTTTTTGGTCTCGTTACATTTTTCGTGCACCCCGACGGTTAATGAAATTACTTATTTTAATGTTCGAATAATATTTGTACTAAATTTGTTCTAATATATCAAGTCCACACGAATTTAAGGACGTGTGCGAGTTAGGCTAAGTTGATGCTAAACCAAATGGGAGATTTTTTGGGATTTTTTGCACTGCACACATTTTGCCATTTATCAACACGTATCGACACATCAATACATTATCGACACAACTTAGAATTTCCCTCATTTAGAATGCAACTTAGCCTAACTCGCACACGACCTAAAAGTGTTTGAATACCATGTTCACAGTTGCAATTAAGTGCACTAATACCACATTAGTGAAAGAAAAATAAGCATTAGAAAAAGTAATTACTTCACAAAAATATATGAATTATTATTTAATAAAAATTTACTAAGCACTAACTTTTCCTATACATGTATTTTTTAAGCAGCATATATATAAGTATAGTATGTATATGTACAACATGATAAAAAAGCACATTTCTTTTAACAAATACTACACAATTTTTTCATTTTGTCAAAACACTTTCATGACTAATTAAATATACTTACATATATCAATAATCATTATAGCAGTACTGATTTTAGTTTACCTATTCTTTATTTATATTTGTTTTATATAGCAAATTTAAAACTAATGTATAAATAGAAATAAAATTGATAAAAAAAAAATCCTGCCTATATTTACTCATTAAAATAAAATTAATGTATACAGCACATTTTCCAATAACAATTATTTATACTATTTCTTCTAATGACTACATGCTAATTATGCAACCACAAATGTAATAAACATTTTGCCACACCGATTTTCATATTTAACAATTCTGGTATGGTGATTTTTTTGCGATGTTACACAAACAGGCACAATTAGTCAAAATTTCCTCTAAGTTTCTTTTCTTTATCTTCTTTGCGGTAAATTGTCATTGTTCGAAAAAACAAATTTTAGTTCACAATGGTATTGCCGTTCTTGTAAAGGATCTTTGCTAAATTCTAAGTTACTTGTCAAAAACCTACAACAACAAATGTATTTGTTTGAACATACCTCACATAGCGTTATTTACGTGACAGCATTTTGTAAAAATGAAATCTTAATTGTTATTAATTATTTGTAGGGGACCAGCAATTTGACATACTTTTGTTTTATAATTAAAGAATAAAGAATTAAAATGAACAACGCAACAGGTATTAATATTTGTGGATTAAAGCTTTGTTTTAAATTAAACTATTTAACCATCATCTGCATTTGTATAATGAACAGATCCTGTTCAAATTGCTGATTTATTGGTAATTATTGTGGACACAAATCCAATACAAAAATATCTACAGCAAAATTCAGAAAGCCTGTCGCTTGTAGTTGATTCTGTCATACCGCTTGCCAATGCTCATCTGTTGCAAAGAGCTGAAAATATGATCGCAGTGATATCGTGCCATCATAATGGAAGGTGTGCATATTAAAAGTCGCATTAAATTCTTAAGAGTATTTTACTTTTTCGTTTAAATTTGATTTAGTTTTTATCTATATCCTACTGAGGGGAAAAAAGTTCCTGATACTCAAAATTATGATGGTCAGTTTGAAGCTTTCAGTGAAGTTGAATTGACTGTCAGGCAGAATTTGTCTGAATTAATTGAAAATGCTCCCATCGTAACTCCAATAGCAGAAAGTTTATTAGCAGGAACTATATCATTGGCATTGTGTTATATCAATCGTGTAAGTATAATGTTAATACAATCTATGTTAAATAAGTAACCAAGATTATTTTTGTAGCTGTCATTAGAAGTTGAGCCAAATACTAAAATACGTCCACGCATATTGATCATTACTGGAAGCAACGAAAACAGTTCTCAATATGTAAATTTTATGAATGTATTCTTCACAGCACAAAAAATGGGTTGCACTCTGGATGTTTGTGCTCTTAATAATTCTTTGATCTTACTGAGACAGGGCTGTGAAATCACAAGTGGACAATATCTGCACGTAACCAATTTGGAACCATTGTTACAATATTTTCTTTGGGTATTTCTTCCAGAGCCGGAAATACGCAAGAAACTTGTTTTGCCACAATTAAATAAAGTAGACACACGCGCGGCATGTTTTTGTCATCGCGAGCTGATTGAGGTGGCTTTTGTCTGTTCAGTCTGTCTATCAGGTAAATAGAATTCTAAACATTTCTATATTTGTTAAATTTTATCTTTTCTTGTTATAGTTTTTTGCAAGTTTAGTCCCATATGCACCACGTGCCAGTAAGTTTAAATTTTACGAAATATATAAATTTAGTTAAAATACATACATATAGTTCAAAATTTTTATTATTATTTATTTAAAAACAGATTTGCGTGCTTAAGCCTACAAATTACTTGAAAACTTAAAACAAAATATTTAATATTTTTATTTGTGACCAAAAAAAAATTATACAATAATTTATTAACGGGCTAATTGATCAATTTAAATAGAAATAAAAACACTATAATTTATTATTTATATTTAAAAACAGTAATTGTGCCAATATTTCGACTTCATCTTCAGGGAAACTTATATTTTGTTTAGTTTTCCTGAAGATGACGAAATATTGGAACAATATTTAAAACTTAAATCAAACACTAAAATTTTTGTTAATGTTATATTTTCAGTACCATCTTTAAAGCTCCTGAACTCATACAAACGGCTAAAAAGAAAAGGAAACTTTAAACAATTTTGTATATAAGATTTAATTTTTATTAAGGTACAACATAGTTTGAATAAGGTATAACGATTCTTAGGATATAATAAATCAATAATGTTAAATAGAAAATTCGTTTTTTATATTTAATATTTGTGTGCTGATCATGTGGTTCTGCTTCCGGCTCACCTGTTGTATTGCAAATTATGATGGATGATCTGATTAGGTATTGCTCATAATGAGGTCTAATAGCGAATCTAGATAAATCTAAAATAATGATTTTCAGAAAAGATCCTAGAGTCAGTAATTCGTTAACGTGCAAGTTCGGGAAAAAACAGGTAGAAATCGTCAATGAATATAAATATCTCTGGATATTAATTACATACCATATAACCTCTTCAACAATAAACATTTAACCTCTTAATTTTCATTAGATAAAAGTGCTATCAACTCCACGTGGGCAAAGTACTTGTCTAATCCTAAAATGACTTTTAAAAATAAAATAAAAATTTTCTATACGGTAGCAAGTTTTATTGTACTTCACGGTGCTCAAGTTTGGGGATACAAACTATGATCAAGTGAAAAGCTCTTTAGATTTTTTATAAAAAAGATTCTATTTTTACCTACTAACACCCCAAACTATATGCTCCACTTAGAAACGGGCTTACCATTGCAGTTTTTAGACAATGTGCAAATAGATTTCGCCTATGTAAGGTAAATTCTAAATATCCCCTCCACAAGGCTTCCTCGAATACTAACCGAACTTTTGATTAATAAAGGTATATATTGGGCCAAACCAGTTTTCGGAGTTATAACACAATAATATAATTTTATATAAACAGAGTAAACGCAATACCTTTGTTGCGAATGCTAGAGGCGGTCTTTTTAAATTGAACGGTAGAGAATTGAACATATCTGAACGTGATTGTTCTTTGTGTAATCGTCATGAAATAGAAAATCTATGCCTGTATTGATGTACAATGCTCAATTTTCAGAGAACATAGACGGTTTTTTTTTTGAAGAAGCACTTCTGTCCGAAAAATTCAGTCTTCAATGGAAGCAATACTATGAACTTGTACAAATTTATGAAATGTTTTAAGTTACAGAAGATTAAATATTCAAGAATTTGTTTGATTAATAATATTAAGAATATGCACCACTTTTTGTATGCCAATCTGATACAGAACAAGCATGTTGTTATTTCAGATTTTAAGTAAAATTTTAAAATTTTTTGTAAGGGCTGTACGAATTCCTTTGAATCAATAATAAATGTATACTACTTCACGATCCAAATTGAACATTTGGGAAATATGATTATAGATGTGTGAGCGCCACACCACTGTGCAATTAGGATTTGTTGACGAATTGCATGTTGGGTGTCTTTCTACCCGTTATATATATTTCGTAGTTTTCTGAACTCTTCATTAGGGCTGGATGCTATAATAATTATTAGTGTAGGAGTTATTATGTTATAATAACAGATATATTATATTATTTTATATATGGACGTTTTATTAATTGTTAGTATGAGTTATTATAATATCTTGCCGTGATTAAAAAGTTAGAAAACTGATTTTTCAGTTTCTCAGCTGGCAATTTTTATATAGAAAAAAGCTATATAAATAAATATACATTGAAAATTAAAAACTGCTTTAAAAAATCTGGTTTTTTTGTATGTTTTATTAAAAATGTAGAACCAGCAATTATACGGACAGACAATTTAGGTAGGCCTTAAAACGCAATAAATTACAAATTGAAAAATACCGGTCTTAAAATGATGCAGTTGTTTTATCACTGTTCTCTACTACAATTCATTCAACTATTTAAAATCTGCCTTCAATGCTTTGACAATGACAGAGCGGGCTAGTTTTAAACTTGAAATGTGCGACCGAAACTCTGATTATATTATGAAATGAATTTTATTGAGGCTTTATAGTTATTATATGTACTTAATGGAAGCCTGTCTACTACATATGTACCTTGTATCCCGACAATTGTCTTAATAAAATTATTATTAATAGCACAATTTAATTAAATGTTTATTATTTCGTTCAACTTTTTACGCAGTAATCGTTTATTTAATTTATGCCAGCAAAGATGTTGACCATTTAGGAACAATACTGGTATATCATGACGATATAAACGTAAAAAACGCACGTTTTCTTTTTCCGTGATGTAGATTTTTTCCAATATATACTCGCCATTAAACTCAGTTTCCAACTCTTCGATCATAACATCACAAAGTGGACAAGGGTCCTTCGTAAACAAAGTCAATACAGGAACAGTTTGTTGTATATTATAATTGCTAAAAATAATATATGTAGGTAATAGTTGACAGCGGACTCAAACTACTTACCATTGTCGTATTAAAACTGCTATTGCACCATATTCACCATGTAAAGCAGCAGCGCAACCAATTTGGCCAGGCTTCAGTGAGTGAGTCACATGTGTTACTAAGTGTATGATAGACATTAAAGGACTACCTATAATGGCACCGTGTATATTAACTTTATCGGAATCAACACCTAGTTTTTTTATTAAGGCTAGGGGTATAAGAGGGTCATATGTATCAACTTCCCACATATCAACTTCATTTCTGTTAATTCCAGCTTCTTCTAAAGTTTGTAAGGCCGCTAATAGCGGTGCAAAAAGTATATCCTTTTTAGAAGCTTCAACATATGTGTACCCAAGAAGAAGAGCTAATGGTTTCAATTCCAATCGTTTGCTGCCTTCAAAATTCGTCAAAACTACGGCAGCAGCTCCTTTATAGTTTAAATCGGTGAAGTCGTGCTCGATATCGTCGTGTATAATTAGTTTCTGCTCTCTTAGGTGTTGCATTCGTATTGGAACCATTTCACCATCAAAAGCACCGTTCGATTTTCCTCTTAAGTATAAACTCTTCGACCTGTTAACATAGTCATCTATTATTTGTTTAGATATTCCTATATTTAATTCTTGGCCTTGACATAATTTAATTGATGCAAAATTTGTATTATTTACCGATACAATACTTCCAGCAATTATCACATCGTGTTTATTTGCGGAACAATTTTCATTATCGACAGATAATGCTTCCATAGCAGACGTTAGTGCTGTATTATTTAATTGGCAATGGGTACTTTTCGAAAGATTTCCAAACTCTGCTGCTTCAGCAACTATTTTCTCATCAAACAAACAGGCATTATCTATATAGAGTTCATGAATTTGTTTATGAGGAACTGCTGCACGTTTAACTACAGTATCTATAACTAGTCCACCTAATTCTGCTCGAGATAATCCTGGTTGAGCGATAGGCGTTCGCACCGAAGATGCAATAAATATCCCTTTGCTGCAACTGCTTACATTCCGCACTAATCGCAAGCTACAATATAAAAACTTAACATTCATTATATTCTAAATACGTCAATGCTAATATTCCATATACCGTCAACATCATTATGACACACGTCCGACTATATAATTTCCAATTTTATTTAGATATTTTCCAATCACAAACAATTTGTGCCGTTGCGTGTTTTTCTATGATATTAGCATGTCGTTACAAAGCCATTCACAATAATTTTAAACAACTAAAATCACCTTACAAGAACGACAACTCCATTGTGAACTAAAATTTGTTTTTTCGAACAACAATTTGCCGCGAAGCTCTTAAAAGTGTTAGTGAAAAGTGCACTAAACCAGCTGAAATCACTAGAATTTTTCACCTTTTCAACCTTTTTTCGTTATTTCAGGTACTTTTGAGAATGGAATATTTCGAAAAATTTACCATGATGAGCGTTTTGTTTTTTGGTTTTGATTTTATAAGAGCAATATAAAATTTCGTGTTAAAATGTTAGTGTTAAAAATGTAAGTGTTAAAATGTAATTCACAAGTACATTAAAAAAAGTATGTACTTAACATATAAAGTACTAGTATATTTTGCTCTGACAGGCCGTTTGTGAATTTGAGTAAATTGAGGTAAAGTAAATTAAAATTTCCTAGGGATCTTTTGCACTGCACTTATGTAAATATTTATTTATTTATTTATTGCACTTATTTATTATTTTTGGTAAAAAGTTTTCAAATTTTTTTATTTATTTATTAAACATCTTATAAAATGTTCACAATGGTAACACCTAAATTATCTAATTTTGATCTAATTTACCCTACTCGAAATTCTGCTAAATACCAACGTTTGTTACCATATCGACATAATTTATTATTTCCCTCAATTTACTCGAACTCGCACACGGTCATAATATATTATAACGAATAAATTTTGTAAACAAAAAATAATTTTAAATGTAGAAATGGAAAAATACAAGGGATGTAAAAATTTTAAATGTTTTTGAATACTCTCATAAAACGAATACTCATAAAACTGTATTATATGGATTTATTCCACATATTTGTCAACTTAAGTTTTATTTTATATTAAACCAAAAAATAGACAAAGCGCAATATTAATTAAGAGCAATAAAAATTAAGAATTTACTGAATATATATTACATGATTAAGCAAACTAAATTAATTTAAATTGATTGATTTAAATGTTTACATATTAATTTATATGCACATAGCAGAAAAAGTCTACGGATATCCACAGAATATTAAAATTGCTGAAGATATTGGTCCACAATATTCATCAGTGCAGAGAATTATAAATAACTTCCAGAAGATGAGTACTTACGTTTCTAAACCTCGCACTGGTCGCCACTCATTTCTGTCAGATAGAGAAAGACGGATCAATTTCATAAACCAACTTATCTCAAAACATGGCTCATTCAATAATTTTATCGGTTCCCGTCTATTCGATACAACTGTACATATATTAACCAAAATAATATCACTTCACTTCCTTTTTTGTAATATTTCCACAATTAGTTCCACACCATTGTCGAATTTCTCAACTTAACTCGTTTATTAATTAAGGACGTGTGCGAGTTAGGCTAAGTTGATACTAAACCAAATGGGATTTTTCGTGGGATTTTTTGCACTGCACACATTTAGCCATTTATCAACACGTATCAACACGTATCGACACATCACGACATTATCGGCACAACTTAGAATTTCCCTCATTTAGAACGCAACTTAGGTCGTGTGCGAGTTAGGCTAAGTTGCGTTCTAAATGAGGGAAATTCTAAGTTGTGCCGATAATGTAGTGATGTGTCGGTACGTGTTGATAAATGGCTAAATGTGTGCAGTGCAAAAAATCCCAAAAAATTTCCCATTTGGTTTAGCATCAACTTAGCCTAACTCGCACACGACCAGCCTAACTCGCACACGACCTAAATTCCTTTCTCCAACTAATCTCTAAATACTATTTAAAAATTCTATTTTTTTGTCCAGTTCGTTTCCGGTTCTATAAGACATGATTTTAAATATTAACGAAAAAAATACAATTTTTAATGCTCTTTTTATGTTACAATAATTTTACTATTAGTTCCACTTCATTGCCTAATTTCTTCCCAAAATTGTTTAATATTTCCATTTTTTAACCAATTTCTATCTGTAAGGCTTGAATAAATTGAAAAAAATCGCCTTTGTTTAATAACAATGTATTGTATATACATACATATGTATATCAATAACTCTACTAAGCTCTGTTATTAATTAGTCTAACCGCAATTGATAACAAATTTAGTAAATAAATTTTTTGGACCAACTATTTTGCTTCTTCTTAATTGATAAAAATCTCTTTTCCTTTCTGTTTGATCCATGTTTGTGATCAATTCATCTCTATAATTCGTTGTACAATTATTTTTGTTTGAGCAACAGCTCTGCGTAAGACACCTTCATTAAAGAAAATAGCTTTTGATAGTACCATAGTTTTTCAACTTCTATTACCTACATGTCTCTTCGACATGATTAAATTCTGACCTACACTACATATGTACGTCTGAAGGTATATGCCAAGTTTATTTCAAATAGTCAAGAATTAGAAAGATTTCTTTAAATTATAACTGTAGCATTTTAATTTATTTGTTTTACATTTGTATTTATCGTTACTATTTTTATTTATAATTATTACTTATAAATATACTACAGAAGTTACCTCTGCACTTTACAATATTTTTGTGGACATTATAAGATTTTTTGTGACATTTACAATATAAAAAGTATTTAATCATCCATGTTAGGGAATCGTTAATAAAAGTCGATAAAAAAATTATAACAAAACTATTCTATATATTTTTGATCATCGTCAGGGTTGTTTCGAAATCTCACAGTTTCAAAGCCATCAACTAGTATTTGACGGTCTTCAACAGGATCATCAGAACTAAGTGGAAATATACGCATATTCCTTTGTGTTAGGAAATAACGTCGAATATTGGGGAATTTTTGCCAAATTCGACGTTTATAACAGATCCATATTACTGTACCGCTAGCGCCAATAAAAAAGAAGAGTAAAAAAATGTTAATACCGTGCGATTGGTGTGTTTCGGTAACATGAATTCCGGCAAGTTTCATAAAGTGATCACTCATATCTTGAGAGCAGTCCGTTATATTGTACCAACTTGTTAAAACATCAGTTCCAAGCGAAAGTACACGCACAGCAACCTCGGTAAATGTTTCATTCAAATACGCCACATTTTGATAATTGGATTGCACATGCTGTAAACGTGATATACAGTTTATGTGACTTAAATAGTTCTTTAAGCCGGATTTATAAATACGATAGTGTATGATGTAGGCAACTACTCTTCCGTTTGGATTCTTCGGTTCTTCAAAATTTACAACGTATGTTGTGGTGCCGAGAATACGACAAGCCTTAAGGTCCTCTAACATATCACCTGTTACTGAATAATTTGTGCGATCTGCATGTATGCCAAATGTACTGCAGCCAATTTCGTTGCAGGCCTTCACCTGCAGACTATACAATCGAAATCGTTCCAAGTTATTAAAGGTATACGTTTGATTGTCATGTGTCAAATTTTGTTTTCGTAACGGTATATCTGATGAATAGTTCGAAGATTCTGGCAAACAATCATATTCACAATATTCATAGTCATACATTTTGTGTATACTCGAAATAAAATGTTGGTCTTCTATTTTTTCTTGGGACCGCAGACAGCAATCGTCAAAGTCTTCTGTATGAACGCTGGCTAAAGTATATGCCTCAATCGGCATATCTTTATAAAGATAAGTTGGTTGGTTACAGAAGTTACGTTTATCTAACATAGTTGTATCATCTAGAAATTCGTATAGTTCTAATTCATAAAAGCGGACAACCTCAAGTGAACTATTTTGTGGAATGAGTTTTATTGTTAGAGAAGTGTCAGTTTTATTTTGCGTAATAATTTTTGGAGTAGTTGGTATGAAAATATTAGTTGTAATGAATTTCAAATCACTTCGTGCTTCAGTGTTTTGTGTTCCTCCGAAGGTTTTTATTAAGCAGGCATAATTAGTGTTTTGTTTTAAGTTCGTAACAACATAACGATAATGTGTCCCATTGTTGTCTAATTCGTTGTTCAGTAGACGATATTTTTGCCAATTTATTCTGTCGCAGATGTTGCTATCGAACTCACTTTCTTCATCAAAGCGTTCTCCATGTGGTACATATTTGTATAATATTTCAGTTTCATTAGAAGTTTGGGTTATGAGCCATTCAAACTCTATTGATTGATGTGAAGTTACCTGCAATTAAAAAATGTGTGTAGTTTTTATGAGAGCACAAATTGGATACTCTAAAATCTTACATTTACATATAGCATCAATTTTTTAAATCCGCATAAAACCTTTTGGTCACTATTTTGTATTGAATCCAAATGATGATCATGTGTTATTTTCTCAGTGAATGTTTGGATGACTTGATTACATAGTTTATTATTGGATTGAATATAGATGCTACCATTTTCCAGACTTAGATTTGTCGAATTCCAAAGTTCTTTTAAATTTTTGTTGTCATAAATAACGAGTGCATAGTCACCGGTATCCAAGATTTTTCCCTTAATTTTTTTCAAATTTTTTAAAAATTTTAAGGAAGTTAGATGAAAAGATCTACATAAAACAAGACATTTCAACGATTATAATAGGTATAAAGTACAATATTATATATTTCAACGCACGTTTAAGCAACAGTTGCTGGCTACAGTAGTTAAAAATGTCAAAAATGTAGCTGAGCGAATGCACTTTAGTAACAATGAACACCGACTAGTGTAGCCAGCTATAAAGCCAGTTACTTAATCGTTTGTTAGACGTTATTTAAGCACCTATGTACCTATGTACTTTTAAAAATCCACCTATTTCAGTTATTCCCGCAAAACCACTTTCTAGGTCAAGTTCATTAACACTGTTTTTCAGATTAATTATAATACTTCCAGACACTGTTTCGCAACCCTTAAGAGTGTCAACATCAGATAAATGAAATATTTCAAATACCTCACTATCACCGCCCAGCGTACAATTTTTAATACAGAACTCAGTTTCAGTTTCAGCTCCACAAGGTTCACAATTAATATGTGTTTTCTGTAAAAGTGATATACATGATATGAGTATATCTTTCAGTCACATCACTGCTTTACTTACATTATAATAGAAGCCGTCGGGACATTTTGCCATAGAAAATTTTGTACATTCAGCTTTGGTATAACATCTTTGGTAGTGCTCTAGAGCGATTCTAATATAAACAAATTTATTTTTATTTATTTGATTTGTAATTTTTTTCAACACTTACAAATCTGACGGGCATTGTGATACACAGGAGTTATGATCAAGAAATCCCTTACAAACAGCGCACCCTTCGTTTGTGGTACTAGAGCAACCACCCAAACACTGCTCGTGGCAATGACGAGTGCCACTAAATGAAAGTATAATGATATAAAAAATTAAAAGTATTGAATTACTTATTTATTATTATTATTTAATGAAATTTAATGTAGCTAATAAATATACATATAAATTTGCAGTGATTCAAATGAGTTCGTAAATATGCCTATATAGACGTAAGTTTCTAGGCTTACAGTGTTTAGCACTTAGACAATTCGGGCAAGGTTTTCAACTGATGCTCTGGAATGTCCAGATAATGATAATGATTTTCGATTATTTTTGGATCGTCATACGTCCAGCGCACAGATATAAGTAAATCTACCGCTTTATTCTTGATATCATAATCCTGCTAAAATTACAATTTATTTCTTACACTACTTGTGTGGGAGAGACTTTTCTTTAAAATTGTTAGATGTGTTCCAAATAGTACCTATAAAACACGGCTTTGTTAAGTTTATAGATGATATTATCTAAATACTTAAATCGTAATTTATTCAACGTAAAGTTTCTTAAAGTTCGTTTTTTGGTTTTCTGTACACGTATCACATGACTTATTTATTATCTGTTGTCCGAAAACAAATTTTAGACACATTTTTTGCTACTCATGGATTATCTCTAGATAATTATTATTCGCAAAAGTACGTCAGAGTTTTTGATAATTAGATGTTGATTGGATCGTTTTTAGATTTGGAACATACAAAATATCTATCCTTGAAAATTAATGTTTATATCTTGGAACCATTTAAGCGAGATTTTACTTTACATAACCTATCATTAGATTTTCTGGATTGCAAGTGATGTCTAGATATTGGAACATTGGATATTGGATTTATTCGACTAAAATTGGTAGTGCAGATGTTTGCACACTTTCGTCGAAACTTTAGGAATAATAAGAATTAAATATAGTTGAGCCAATTATTAGATTTCTTGTATTACAATCTATATCCAGATATTGGAACACCTTCCAGACAATATATTTTTAAAGAACAACACAAGGTTAATTGGTTTAGTAATGTACATCGCTCTGTTTATCTATTTCAGTATTTAAGTTAATAGAGTGGAATTTTGTTCAATTTTTTACTTTGTTAGAGTACAGATAGGTAAAGACAGCAGGTGTCTGAAATTGCTTGACTATATTTTGTAACCACTTGCCGAAAATAAAATCACCGAAAATAAACTTTTAAAATGGAAATGGAAATATTTATTTCCATTAGATTTTAAAAAAATTAATTTGAATAAAAATTTTTTTTTGTTTACATTTATTATTTGCATTATTATTTTTGTTAAAAAAATAAAAATTCTAGAATCACTGATTTGTAATAATTTGTTATTCACGATCTCTTGCTACTATTGCTACTGTTGTTGCAGCCCGTAAGGATCTATAAATAAAGCAGTTAACATGAAAGGGATCATAAGACGAATACAATGGTTAGGATGTGGATAATTTGTGTGACGGGAGAGGAAGAGCTACAACAACAGTAACAATAATTATTTTACATGATTACTGCAATCGCTATTTAAGATCGTGAATCCCACTTATTTATATATGTAAATAGCATAAATGTTTTGATGACGTTGAACGATTGTTTTTAAAAAATATCAAAACTTTAATTTATTATCTGATTTATTTAAAATATATATTACATATCTAAGTTTTTTTTCTAAATCACTGTAAATAAGTGTTATGAATTTGATAATATGAAATATGTAAATTTTTATGAATTTGATAATATGAAAAGAAATAGTTTTAAATTCTAAATTTTATTTTTAATTTAGAACCGTTTATGAAAGTACTTACTGCCGTAAATAAATAACATTGTCATTTTCGAATTTTTGGCATACGAAATCGGACCAACAATATTGGGAGTCACAGCCTGCACATTCAGATTTTCTTGGACACTTTTCTTGTCTTATTGGAAATATATGATTTTCTCCTGGCGACACTGTTAAGCGATCCCAGTTTATCTATTTAAATAAGAAATAAATTTATGAATACAATTTATATATTCTCATATAAATAACATACCCTTTCTAATTGGCAAAGTTTTGGACTGGATCCAATAAATACATTTCCGCGTTGAATGGCAACTAAAGACTTGAATTCAATCTTCAAATTCAATACATAAGAAAAATTATAAATTAAGCTTGATTTATTATTCATATGCAAACGAAAATCAAGTATACCATCTCTAAATCTGGCATTTTTGAAATACCCAAAGCGTAATTTAGAAACAGCCGTCGCCCACGTATCACAGTCAGATTAGGAAACATATCTCGGATCGAAGTCAACCCCTTCACATCAAAAAATATTAAGAAATCCGAAATTTCACGCAATTGTGTGAAACGATATTGAGTGTAGTTGCAAGTCTCATAGGAAGAACCATTCATTTTAGGTAGTAAGGCAATAATAAGGAAGCCCTTAATGACTACGCAACCCTCCAGTTGCAATAAACTATCACAGTCGTTTCGTACGTCAATGCTCGTGCATTCGTGTGGCATTATCAAGGACGTATTGCCCAAGGTTATGCCACCCTGATCACCATCTCTCAGCTCCACATTACCGACTGCACTCATGCGCAGTAATGCCAATACACCTGCCACCAACAGGAACTTCCTGTTGTAAACAAAATAATTCAAAATTGGCGCAAAAATATCGCCAATGACAACGAACAATAAGTGCGCTACCACAATAATCAGCAGCATACTTGCGCGCAATGCACTGCTTGAGGAATTTAAAAAATATTAAAAAACGAGACTTTACACGCACAGTACACGCACAGTACACACACAGGTACTTTTTATATTAATCGATTTAAGATATAAGTAACTTAATTTCTTAAAATGCAGAATTTCCCCAATATTCAATTATACAGAAAACAGTTAAAACACAACATAAAAAACTTATTTTAATTTTTATTATCACAGCATCATAGCGGCTATATCTCTTTTCAATTCCCGACTTTTTTATGATTGCATTTTCGCCGCTCCTTTCTATGGCTCTTCTACTTCACTGATCCGCTTTTTATTACTGCAAGTAAGTCTTGCCTTTGGCTCTTCTTTTCGGACCTTTTTCCGTTATTCTCGATTCGCACTGTTTATCGTTTTGCCAACTATATTTTATTGATCTTCACCAACAAAGCGAAAAACGTAATAAATTTTTGTGTCAATTTAAATTTTAATCTCTAAACCCCTTTGCTGTCTCATGCAAACAGGCATAAAAAGTAGTAACACTAATAATCGTAAAATAAACAATTTTTGTGTAACACTTCAGTAACTAAATAAAAAAGAATTATTTTTATATGCATATGAACATACATAATACATATGTATGTATATATACATATGTATATATATTGCAATATATGAAGTTATATAATGAAGAAATATTCTATAATGAAGAAATGAAGAAATATTCGCTTCTGCCGTTTATTCGAGATGTGAGCCTTATATTAACATATGTATATACACACATATGTATATGTACATAATTTAATTATAACTATTAAACTGTTAAATGGTAGAAACTAGTAGGTCTATTAAGATTCTTAAAAATGAGTACGTTCGAAAACAGAGTTTTGGTGTCTTACCATAATTCGTTTTGTGGATCAATTTCATTAACCAACTTATCTCAAAACATGGCTCATTCAATAATTTTATCGGTTCCCGTCTATTCGATACAACTGTACATATATTAACCAAAATAATATCATTTCACTTCCTTTCTTGTGATATATCCTCAATTAGTTCCATATCATTGTCGAATTTCTCATCTTAACTCGTTTATTAATTAAATTCCTTTCTCCAACTAATCTCTAAATACCATTTAAAAATTCGATTCTTTTGTCCAGTTCCTTTCCGGTTCTATAAGACATGATTTTAAATATTAACGAAAAAAATAAAATTTTTAATGTCCTTTCTATGTTACAATAATTTCACTATTAGTTCCACTTCATTGCCTAACTTCTTCCCAAAATTGTTTAATATTTCCATTTTTTAACCAATTCCTATCTGTAAGGCTTGAATAAATTTAAAAAAATCGCCTTTGTTTAATAACAATGTATTGTATATACATACATATGTATATCAATAACTCTACTAAGCTCTGTTATTAATTAGTCTAACCGCAATTGATAACAAATTTAGTAAATAAATTTTTTGGACCAACTATTTTGCTTCTTCTTAATTGATAAAAATCTCTTTTCCTTTCTGTTTGATCCATGTTTGTGATCAATTCATCTCTATAATTCGTATAAGACACCTTCATTAAAGAAAACAACTTTTGATAGTAGTTTTTCTATAACTTCTGTCAAAATACTGCCACATAACTTGGGTACTGATTCTATTTCTTTGTCCAACTTTCTAATTTTTCTCATAAGGAACAAATTTATTAATTGGAAAAATTACATTTTCCTGTCTGCTGTTACAATTTTTCAGCAAATGCAGCCGACTTCTCTCTAGAACTCGTTCAATATTTATAAAACAAGTTTTTTCTCATATACTATCATAATATATTATTTAATTTGGCGGGTTCTTCTAGTACTTTCTAAGAATCTATTAACTTATTTATAAGATCCCCTGATTCTTCGCAGTAGTGCATTTTATTCTGCAGAAGAAGAACAATTCTGTTTTTTTTTTTTAATTTTAAATGCTGGAAATCGCTTTTTTTTCTATAAGAACTCTATCAGCAAAATTCAATTTTGTTCCATAAATTTGCACTACTGTTCTCAAATCTATTACGGTTTATGTTATTGTCATATGTTGGACTATCTTGAACAAAACTGCTATTATTAAAAGTTTACATTAAGCAAAATTCGATATAATTCTCAATTAATGATTGGTGAGATTGGTGAGTGTTAACAGTTGAAGTAGGACTGTAAGTGGCTCTGGTAGATGTTATTAAAAGTGACGTCCTTTGCAACACATCTCTTACGAAATTTTATGACAGCACTTACAGTTTAGCTCTTAAAACGTTCAAAAATGTTTATTAAAACATTGATTTTATGTTACTCTAGAATTTGAGCGTAATATGGAATTAAAAAAACGCGTCCGGATGTAGGGATGGGGTGTTAGTTCTCGAGATATATACAAATGGATTAGCAGTAGTCAATAAACTAAAATTTGGTATATTTTTAAATGGAACTGAAAGTACACAAGTTGTAAGGTTTCTTAAATTATTGCAATGTTTTTCTGACATCCGAGAGGAAAGTTTAATTAGTTTTAATTAATTAGTCTAAATAGATATATACACAAATTAACATAATATAATTTTACTGAATAGACAACCTGTTTTGAAGTATTTCAGCTCAGTATTTTGTGTTCATATGATCACAAATTTAATATATACGTGGTGTGAATTTTTTTTTATTAAATGACTTATAATGAATTTTTATTCGATAGATCCTTAGGTCTCTACGTCTTGATATTATTCATTTAAAATGTTTATGACTTTACGTAACTTCTTTTCATCAATATATGCAAATAAAGATAAATATACATTTCACACTAATTAAAACGGATAGAATTCTCAATATCTATGAAATAGATAGAATGTAAATATTTTTCAATAATAAAGATGAATCTATCCTATACAACTCCTACCAGGTCACAGTACTGGTTTATGTGCTTTGCTAAAAGTCCTTTCTGGTATTGTCGCCTATTTTTACTTAAATTCTTTACTATTTATAAAATTATGTAAAACCATTAAAGAGAGTCATTAAAGAGAGTTTATGCTATTAAGTTCATTTTAAAGGTGTTACGAAGATTTTCGAATCAAGCCATGGAATTATAAATTTAATAATATATACGCTGAGAGTGGTGTAATCGGTTCAAACACAACTGATATTTCGCTTCACTTTGTTATTGTTTTAATTAAATTAACAGTTATTTCACATTTATTAATCATATATAATTAATAATATTTATTAAAATTTTTTTCTTCTTCACTTTCTTACTTACGTACATTTCCAATATCTTCTTAATTGCACTAGAGCCATTTTAATAGTTTTTTTTAATAGTTATTTTGTTTTTTTCAATACATAATTTTCCATTTGTTTATCATATTTTTCTTAATTGGTGGTAAAAATTCGCTTAAATATTTTTTGTATATTTTGTCTATTCGTAATTTTTGTGTTAAATGTAATAATTTTTCATGAAACGATTAAATTGTCTCGAACTTAACACATCTTCATTCGTCATTCGCTGATCGCGCTCAATCGCTGACTGTGCGAATTGGAGTATCGAATCTTAAGATACATAAGATCGCACTACACAATTTGGTTAGGCTCATCTATTTTGTGCGACCAGTAGTAAGTGAAGCGTTATGTTAGTTATGCTCTCCGATATGTTTAATATCGACCATTCATAAACGTCAGGAACAGTTGTTTTGTGGCGATCATTAAGATCGCCTATGAGTCAATTTAATGACTTCTCTTACACATAGAACATACATGTATGTATCCGTTCATCACTTGAATTGAACAATCTTGAAACTCTTTTCATATGCTCAGCTCATCAATGGTATTTTTACTTTTAGACACTTTTAATAGGAAAGATTTTTATTTTATTCGTTAAATAAATCCCATATACATCGTGTCGACTATAGATAGATATGAGAAATCATATTTAATTAAGTAAATTCACAATATTGAATATAAATTCGACTTCATCTGCGCAAAGTTAGAGGAAAAGTGCCGATTAAAGCACATTAAAGGGTTGGTATTTATTTATTTTATTGACAGTTTCATAAGAGTACAATAAAAACTCTCTCTTGAACGGACACTGACGGGACTTGCAATCTTGAATTATATCAAATATAAGAACTGAACACACATGCAATACTACAAGAAGAGAGATTTCCGTTTATAGAGAGCTAGAAAATGGAAACAGATACAGAACTAGAAACTTAACAGAGTAAGAAAATAGTTAATTACATTTTGTTAAATGTGAGTATCTAAAACAGGGTAACCACAATCACAGTAGGGATAATGTGTTTACGACGCTTTTTATATTTACCAAGCAAGATCAATTATAATTTATTGTTTAACTAAGGGTAACGGCAACTGCCGCGACGTACTGCAATCATAATAAGCCTTTAAATGAATATAGAAAATGATTTTTAAGTCAAATTTATATTCGATTACTCATTTGATTCCTCTATTATATGTTATAAATCATGACTGTACAACTGGATTTTAATCTTTCACACCCATATTATCAATTGAACTCAATTCGAGAAAAAAACATCAGATCTTGACTTTTGACTTAATAGTTTTGGAAGTAATCAGTTATTATCGGCTATATTTCTCTTTGAATATCGAAAACCTTCTCGAACAATATCTGACATCAATCGACAGGAACTGTTTCAAATCTGTTGTAAGTTATGTAGTATTTAATCATAATGTTACCTTTTGTAGGGAGAAAAGCTTTACTTTTATTAGAACTTGAAAGTGTTTAAAGTTTCTAAATTCGCTATAAATTTAAATTGATCATTTATTTCTTGTTGGAGTTTATGATTGTGTCATGTTCTTCAAATCTTCTTTCGTTGTCAAAGAAAAAATCAGGTATTCCTTAACTTTATTCGAGTTATGATTATGAATAAAAAAATCATCAAATAAAATAATCGGACTAGTGTCGTAAAATATATGGATGGGTGTAAACACCATCTAATGACAAAAAACTGCAGATACTTTTTAATATTGCCTTTTATATTCCAATATATATACAATAAGAATTTCTTGAAAGTGTTAACGTACTGATGAGTGAAACTTAAAGGTATAAATATCTCATAAAGTTCATAATATTCATATACATTTTCATGAAATTACTTTGAGTAAATATAAAAAAACAGCAGTACTCACTGATGTTGAGTTGAAATGATGTTTTCCATTTACAAAAACTTGAATATATAATTGATTATAACACGGCTTCTTTAACTGTTAACAAGAAAATGAAAAATTCTCAACATCATGAAAAGGGAAGGATACTCACTTCCAATTTTCAACAATCTACGTAGGGTAACGTGTTTTGCTCTAATATACGTTAAAGTGTAGTCAGCGCTTCATAGTTACCTTATAACTATGTATAGCCTACTTATTCCATTTTTGTATAGCATATACAAATCTAAAACTTTTTGACATGTCTCTCTCCAATCTCTCCAGCTTGTTTTACTTTGGTACATATTAGAATCAGTTATCGTCCTCACATCCTCATAATTTCCAAATTACATCCTATCCCATTCTTGTCACATTATTCAATTTTAATTCCCACTGCTCATCTCTAAAGATTACTCTCCATTACTCTTCATTAACATGATGGCAGGCTGAAGACTTTTTCTTTCCTGTCTATAATTGATAGAATAAAGAAATAGAAATAGAATATTTAACCTTCTATTTGTGAATATTTAAAATAGGTAACCGTAGTAAATATTATAAACAGTTATATGCAAAATTGTTAGAAAACGAAATATAGCAATGATGAAGTTTTTTCATGGACCTCTACATAGATATATATATATATATATATATTTATATATATATAGAAAGGTATAGAGCAATGTATAAAAAAACGACATTATATAACAACAACCAAAGAGTACCAAAAAGTATTACTTTTAGTTTTCCATAATCAATATATATTCATTCATTATATATATCAGAAAATTTAGTTTCAGAAATAATAATACATTTCTTTCTATCGAAACCATTTTTACTCTTGTAGTGAATCATTGCAGTCTCTTATGAGTTTTCAAGCAATCAAGAACTTTCTAATACTAACAGTGCTACTACGGACCATGATCGTTCGTTCATGTTATCTCAGTATACTAGCCACTACGCCACCTCGACCACTTTCAATAGCTGATATTAATTTGTACCCCCATCCACTAACACATAACACCAATACTCTAAGACATAAAATTTGAATTTGGCTTTTTGTATTCATTTCAGTTTGTCATCGTGCCTCGGAGTCAGAGATCAATTATATCAATTAAATTACTTGTTTTTAAATTATATGAACCAATCCAATAAGTCAGCTTTGAGCATTACTTATTATATTATTGTATAAAGACGAATCTTAATAATTGAAATGATTTGGTGAAATTAATCTGAATAAACAAAAAAATTGTCATATTGTAATGAACAGTAATAAATTTACATTTACATGTAGAGATTACTTGCTTGACTTACATAATATTATGATTTTAACCATATACTACCATTTTAATAGTTTTAATAGTAAAGTCGATATGGACTTTGAATTCAATTCGGGCTTTTACAACGTCTTCCACCAACGCAATTAAAATAAGACTGCGGCTGTTGTTATTATATCTTTAATTTGTATTGCTAAGAACCCCCAGCGTGTCTGTATGTAACACATTATTATTACTAAAAGTTTAAGCGTGAATTCGCCCAACAGCCCGTACTGCGGCCAGAAGAGTCACTATTGATTACTCAAAGTCCCTTAAAGCTTTGTGAATAAAGTCTAGAACTAAATCTAGAGAAGAGTTCTTGACCTTTTCTGATGACAGAAGTTCCAAATGAAACAAGTTCCTTCTGAGCGTTTTTAAAGTTGGGCATTCACAAAGAATATGCATGGTAGTTTCTTTATCTTCGAGGCATAATCTGCTTTCCGAATTAGCAGACAGTTGTAGTTTATGAAGGTGGTATTTCAGTCCATAATGACCTGTAAAGAAACCCGTTAGCAATCTTAAATCACATTTTGAGAATTTAAGGATGTTTTTGTAGAAGTACGGTAATATCAGTGCTTTACTTTGTCTAAGTCCTGGGAAGTTTTCCCAGTACTCCAGACGCATGTGATTTTCCCAGTCCTTGATTATTGTCTTATACTGGCTCAGTCTAATCCACAAAAGGTTGAGGCCCTGTAAAAGCCGGCTAGCTCATCAGCTTGTTCATTTCCCAAAAATCCCCCGTGACCCGGTACCCAGTAAAGGCTAACCTATTCCGAGTTGCAAGTAGCTATAAGAGCTCATAATACTCAAGGACCTGTTTTGACTTGAAAGTCCAGGGGGACAGATCTTTGAGAGCAGCCTGGCTGTCAGAATAAATAACAATTTTCGAGCCAGATGATTTTTTGTTAATATTGGTTCTTACGCATAAGTTGCAACACGAAGTACCAAACAGTTTAACCTACCTTACCAAACGCCTTTTTTTAATGTGTCATAAGTAATTCTATTTATTTTTCTAAGTGAAATTACACTATTACATTACAATGAAAAGTTTCCTAAGACGAGACCTATATTTTCTATAGTGAAATTTTCCGTAAAACGTTAAAATTATTATCATTTCTTTTTTCATATGGTGTTTCGGTAACACAATGGGCCATTAGGCCTAAGTGGATCTACTAGGGATCGCCGGTATAACCTGACCTGGCGTTTCAGTCTCTCAAAAGGATTTCATCTCTCTAAAGAACTTAATTCTGTCTAGTTATATTACTTCCAGAAATCTTCATAGAATTTACCTTTAGGATTTTATTGTTGGCATTGTTTATTAATGTAATTTTACAAAATAAATTCGAAAAAAATGATTCTTCTATATTAGTTTGACTTTTTAGAAAAAAACACTATTTTGGGCAAATTTGGAAAATAGTATACATATAAGGTTTTCAATTTTTATTCGATTTTTATGTTTAATCACTCAAAACGTTTGTATTAAAACAGTCTTTGACACTAATCAAAAAAAAAATTTTTTTGTTAATAGTTCTGTGGAAATCATATCACATGAAAAGTCGAAAAAGTTGAAAAAAACGTGAAAAAATATATTCATCTGTACATTTTTGACTATAGTAACCAAATCAGTTAAGTCACATTGACATTATATAGCTTAAAATATTCGTACAAGTTTCAGCTTTAATTTGATATGCCACACTATATGCAATAACTTAAAAGTAACTAAAAAAAATTTATGGAGCATATGCAGAGACACAAGAAAAAGTTCTGAGTTCTCCGCCAAATTTCACTATAGAATATTTCGGTCTTACCTTTTGAAAATAAAATTTTTGATTATTTATAAACTAGTGTTATCGCAGAATGAAATTTATAAATTTGATGTCCACGACAAATAACATAAGCCAATGATAATTTTGTTATCTTGCGTTAAGAAAAGGGAATAGATTTTGTCATCATTTAGGACTCATGGGATTAGAACTCCTACACTGCTAATTACAACCTCTGTTTTTGCAGAGAACAAAATAAATCCAGGCAGTGCATTTCTGTGGTCGATTTCAGTAAAAATTTATACCTTATTAAATGTGTCCAGTAGTAGCTTAATGCGCTTTCATTTAAATTAGACATGTAAATAACTTTATCAGTTAGTACTGGTGTGGTGGTGAGTCTGTGAACCCCTATGAAGTAACTCGTAAATTAAATAATGAGGTAGAGCTTCTTTCGATCTTATTAAGAAAATAAACGTCAGAATTTGTAAAATGGGTGACTCAGGATGAATGCTAAATCCTTAGCTCTAGTGGGCATCATGAAATCCTTTTAATATTTCTAGCTGTACTTGTATAAAATGAGACTACTTCCGCCTTCGCTGATACTGTTTCAGAAATCTTTCTTTAATGAGGCATGACTAAAAGCCAGTGGGTTTATACGAATCGAAATGGTATTGTAGGATTCGACGTTTATTCAAACGACTTTGATATTTAAGCTATTTATAATCTATGCATCGTAAATCTGCAAACCTTGATCTTCTTGATTGGAAATTCAATATTACTAATGATCGAGCAGCTATGTGAATATTAATTACTACTGAAGTATATAACAACACATTAATCTCGTTTATTAGGAGTGTTGTGTATTTTAGTGGAAAACCCCGAGTGTGCCAAAATGTTGAATTCTTTATTTCAAGTTTTGGACGAAATGTTTCAGTTGCACTTGTTTATAGCTAATTTTTAAAAAGGTCCTTAGCTATTATGAAAACACTTGAGTTTAATTTCACAATTTAATTTTATTAATTTTATTTATGTTATAATTTATATTCTTTGGATTCTTTTAAATTCAGACACACACCTTATTTGTTTAACATTTGTTGTCAGCGCTACTACGCTTGATCATTTTTATTATTTGGCTAAGTGTACAGTATATAAATTTTAACCACTACTTCGTTTAACCACTGTTTTTTATAATTTTCTATTTCTACACAACTTTCAACTCCCGTCTTTGACTCCTCTTTGACTCTTAATTTTTACTCCAACTTAGACTCTAACTTAGACTCTAACTTAGACTCTAACTTCCACTTCAACTACAACTCCAACTGCAACTTAACTATATCTCTTTGTGGTTTTAAATCTATCTTATATACCCAAACTTGATGCAAAAATCCAATATATGACCTTCAAATTACCCTAATTGGGTTTTTTCATAGTTTCATAATTTACTTTGCTAAATTTGCAAAGTTTTTATTATTAATAAGAATGCTCTACATATTTTTGCAATTCTTCCGTATTTACAATTTCAATGTCACTTACATCGTGACACCAATTATTAACCAAATACCAAAACTCAGCATTTCTTATCGTCGAACTGACGGTCTGCTGCTTTGGTTCTAGTCAACAACTGCCCAGATGCAAATAACCTTGCCTATTTTTAGGGAATTATTTACTTATAATAAATTCTGTCTATGGACATATTGCAAATAATTTGAGTTTAGATTTTCTGTATAATCGAGCTAGAAATGTACAATGTTACTTTCACACAACCATCCTAATCAATCTTTTATTTGCCCTTACCAGTCATAATTTTATTTAAAAAAAGTTGCTATTTAAAACAGTTTATTTTCATTAGCTATGATGTACATTTGTAAATAAATATTATAAAAAATGGCTTAATATAAAATTAATAGTGAAAATTAAGAATTTCACATTTTCTCCTTAATCACAATCATGATTTCTGCTCGATATCAGTTTTATTTTGTGGTTTCAAACTGTATGAAATATTTATTCCGGAGGTGTGTTATCATGTATCCATTCTGCGAAATGAGCCACAGATGTGTAAACGCTTGGTATACGCAAACCACCACAGTTGTCAGAACCAAACGACATTATACCGATCTTCAAAAAATTTGAAACATTTTTCGATATTATTTATAGTTATATTATGATATTATTAAACTTACTTGCGAAAAAATGCCATTCTCCTGTATAAATAATGGCGCACCACCAAATCCTTGGCAAACATCTTTACCTTCACCGCCAGCGCACATCCACTGACCCTCAATAGAATTCGGCGATTCTAATGCACCAGTTGACCCATAATTGCGCATGCATAAGTCCCAACTGGTTAGTGGTACATCCAAATGGGACATTTCAGGTTGTCGGGCACTAGATGTCGACATTTTTCCCCAACCTGCGATCGTTGCCCGCTTGCCAACAACCAAATTGGTACGGGTCTTTTGCAAACAAATCGGCTGCGTCGCAACTATTGTAGTGTGTGCAATACATTGTATTTAAAATTGAAAAGATAATGTTTATAAAAAATAGGCGAATAGTTAACTAAATAAAAACTCCGTTATATTATTAATAATAAAACCCTAATTCAGACAGTATGGAGGTACGAACGTTAAATATCTGGTTCTTCTACTTGACTTTAAACGGTTGCATGTGCCACTAACTGATGTATAAGATTAGAACAATTCAAGGTTGAATCGTCCTCTGGCTCTACACAGCCGTTATTGAATCTATTCTCTTATACAAGCGTCCGAAAAGTCTATTTTTCTAGGGCCGCTTCACAAAGTAAGTAGAATGGTCGCAATGCAAGTTACTAAAGCTTTATCAAAGCTCCACCTCCACGTAAGCCCTACCGTCAAAGTTTCTGTTAAAACAGCAGTATATGTTAATAGCAACCAGGAGTAAGCCGTTGGTACAGAACTGAAATAAAACAGGCAAGTGGGTGGTCTATGCTCAGGGGTCCATAAATAGTGTGATACTAAGAAACCTATACAACTCTTTGAGCGAAGTCCGAATTTCTCGAACTTCTCAAGAAAAGGCAGCCGTAAGGCCTACTAGATTTTAAATTCAAGCTTGGCTGTTAGAGAAAATTACAATATTTATAATAGGAAACGGTGTGGCAAATAAAACATCTTTTCTTCCTAGTTGTTGTAAGATTCTTTCTGTAGGGTTGTCCTACCCTGCGGAATGGGGGAAAGAATTCATACGCGGTTAGGATTGCCAGTCGTAAGCAGCGACTAAAATCCCCAGTTCCAGTCTGGCCACAGCCCAAATTGTAGCAGAGGTTTAAGATGGGCCTCGCATTTCACCAAGGTGGAAGATATGACTTACATAAATATCTTCATTGGTACCGGAGGAATAGAGCAGGCTATTCCAATGGGGCGTTGATTGGCGCTTTGTATCAATACGTGTGTTTTTGAACACCGTGGTGTTAAGCATTCTCGGCAGGAAATCACGATAAAAATTTCTGGATTCTATAGAGTTATCCATTGGAACAAACATTTAACAAACATGAAAATTCGATGTTACACGACTATAGGAAAAAGGAATATAGAATTTAATACATATATGTGAAATCGAATATATGTACAAATATATGAAACAACGTTTTCTATAATTATTTTTTTACCACAATTTGCATCGGTTATCAGGAGCTATTCGACAAAAGATATTCTCGTCTTCGTAGAGCAGGCTTTGTTCCATTTACACCATTTATTTATTGAAGCTATCAAAAGACACTAAAAGACACTTTTTTCTAGATTATGTTCTAGATTATCTAGATTATATTAGATTAATAAGTTTACATAAACGAGAGGCTATTGTAATTTGGAAGCAATAACTGATTATATTCAGATTCTTTCGTTAACTTCAATAATAAGATAATTATATAGATAAACAAAGGTAGACATAAATAAAAGGTAGCTAAGCTTGTACATTCATCATTCTGTTGCTGTGTGGCAGCTACTTGGACCCTATAGTTTTGCTCCAGAGTGTACAAAACCAGGTATAATTTAATAGGTTTTTAATTTTTTAAAACGAAAATATTTTAATGTTAAATTGATAGCTGTACTGTCTATAATCGTTATTCACTCCCACCTATACGTGATTTTTTTTAAATATTGATACGATGTTTCAATTTACAAAATAAAAAATGAGAAACGCGGGTACACTCTAATTATAAGCATGCAAAAAAACGTAATATAAATATGAACTTGAAATCGGTGTGTAATTTTGTGCGAAATATGTATAAATATTATTCACACATGAGCATTTCATATAATTACTAATAGCCAGCCACCCTTTGAGCCACTCCAAACTTACCTGAGTAATTAAGTGGTGTTTTAAGTACTAGCAAAGCAATATCATGATGGTACTGCCCTTGTTTATAATCTGGATGTACAATAACGTGACTAATGGCATGATTAACGGAGCGTGGTGCGCAAAAGCCTGTACTGGCGCAGTCCGGATCGGACGAAGTATCATATTCACCCACACGAACAGATGACCTATTGGATTTAATTGGTATTATGTCATTTTATGCACTTCTTAAAGTAAAATTGTACGAGTGTAACTTACAAGCGATGTCCTTCTGCTTTCGCTAACGCACAGTGTGCAGCGGTTAAAATTACTCGCCGGGCTATTACTGAACCAGCACAGGGATAAGCAAATGCTCCAGTGTTTACGTCTGAAACATTTAAATACTTATGTATTTGTTACAGGAAAGGATTCAGAAGCAACTTACGTTTGAATCCGACACGTGCCACAAACGGGTAAGTGCCCAAACCCTTATAAAAGTGTCCCTGAACTAATGATTTTCCACAAACTTGATTTTTTTCAAGTGGACTACTTGGACAACACACGTATGGCATTTCCTCGCCACCACCGCAAAAAAGGGATTTATCGCCATAATAACACATTTTAGCCACTTCATATATCATTGCCGTACAGTCATGCAATGGCGTGCATTCAGTACCCACAGTGCATTCGGTACCAGCATCATAGTACGAACGAAGAGGATCCCCACGGTGTGTATATGCGGCACGGCTTTGTGGGCGTACACCACTTATGTCTGAGGCTCCGACCAACGCTTTAGATGGATTTGAATATGTACCCGATAATATTATATTGTCTAAAAAATCAATTTTTTTCATTTAATTTTTGTGTGCTGGTAAGATTTTATTTTAAAGCTCAATTCGGAGATAGTTTTTATCACGATAATTAGTACTACTAATGTATCATATATCCTCAGGACTATTTTTTATAAAAGAAAAAAAGAGTCAAACTGAAATAATTTGTGACTTTAGTGAATGAATCCATTTAATCATATTAAATGAATTAAATTACTCTAATGTTTTCATTATTTCAATAATTGACGATTTCAACAGTAAATTAGGTTAGGTTGAAAGGGCACGTCTTAATACGGACATAAATATTCGTAATTTCACTCTGAAAAAATGTTGCTGTTTTTAAAGCCCTCATAGTTGGCAGGGTGAGCCAAGCTACACTAACCATTATTACTTATATAGCTTTTTGTGTTATTCTTTTGAAACCATTTTGTCTTTCAGGGGAAATTAAGGAGATCCAAATAACAAACTACTGCAGTGCTTGAAAGAGTTTTTTTGGCTGATTTATATTCAGATAAAACGTATCAATTTAAATTCTTAAAGTCAAATTTTATAAACTGTTTTGAGTATAATGTAGAAGTACTTAACTAAGCACAGAGTGACATAGAGTGAAGGAGGTACTGTTTTATGAAGATATTGAATTCAATGTCCATCAAAATGTATTAACTTCGTACTTTTTAAAGATAGTATCTGTCAATGTAAAATACAGTCCCTGGGAATCTATTATAATGACGCCCTTTCTTTTTAAACTTAGAACATCTATCAAGGAAATAGAATTACGGAAGTCCAAATTAAATTTAAAGTGGCGGTTTTTAAAGTAATTGGATACAATGTGAAAAAGATTCGTTTGCTTTTATTGAGGATTTGCTGTCTGGCAATAAAATACACAGTTTTTGGGAATCAATTGTAATGAAAAAATGGTGATCGTACTTCGAGTCAAATATTATAAGCTTTGTGAGTACTATGTAAAAGCCGTTAGTTGTACTAAAATTATAATTTAGAGAATGAATTATCATTAAGAAAGTCCTTAATAGATTTTGAGAAAAGTTTCCTGCTCTATTAAATACACTGTAAAAATGCTCTGTTTGTTTTTAATAAAAACAAAATATCTACGTTTGTTCTTAATAAAGATATAGAGACCTTATGAAGACCTTACACCTGTAAAGTAAGTAAGGTCTTCATAAAGTTTATGAGCGAATGTGAAAGTACTTTACTTGTTCTTATAATATATATTGTATGATATTTTTGTTTGTAGTTATAAAAGGTATAATATCTGTCAATTTTAAGGGTTAAGGGGTTAGATTAGAGTTATAAAAAGGTTATTAAATATCTATAAAAAGCTATGGAGGTGGCTTCTTATTAAAAAACTAACTAAAAAATTTAAAAACCCTTGACATACCGTGAACTATCTTTAAGGTTTTCATAAATACTAGTATTTTGAAGAAATTAATGATACTAATATTAATCATTTTTATAAGTGCGAACATATTTATAAGTACTGGCCTCTGTTTAATACTGAACAATCGAGTGATCTAATAACCTTTACTAATAGAAAAGTTGGATTTATTATAAGTTAACTATGCGATCATTCTGCTATAATAAAGCAAGAATGAGCGAGACCACTGTTGTGAGTCGAATGAAGAAAGTACGTCATATATTTTCCATCGATGGGTTGAGTATGCCTATAATAGGTTTGTGTATCTTCAATGTTACTTCCTTAACAGTCCCGAGGACATGTATAAGTTTGTTTAAAGTAAATTCTTATGATTTGTTGATAGCTGAAATGCTCTTCTAATTAGTGTTTAATCTAAAGACAGTTTTTAAAGTTTTTAACGTTCTACACAATGGTAGATGTCCCAGCAACCACCAATGTTCCATATATATTTTTAGCACAACACAATAATTCATAAAATCTCACCAAATCTGCCATATTCACACTTTGCAACTGCTGCTAAATGACAAATGAAGAAATATGTAAAAAGCTGCAATAATTTGTAACTGGGACCGTAAATATCCATTTGGAACATCCTACCGACCGATTGATTATCAAACGAACTGATCGCTATTAATTTGAATAGAACACACAGATACGAAATATATCTGAAATAAAAGGCTTTCGAATCGATTTTAACAGAGAAAAGGTGAACCCGTTCTCAACGTCTAAACTCGGTTACTTCACTCAACTAACTAAATTCGAATGGATTTTAGTTAATAATTTAATATTTTATAACAATTTGGACGATATTAGAACGCATGGTTTTCTTTCAACTTTTCCATGTATTTAACGTTTTGCTATGAATAAAGTATTAAAAATACGAAAACATACATAAACACATTTCAATGTATCTCAGTGCATGATTACTAAGTACGCGTTCATACCAAAATAATAAAGTTAACCCTTAATGATAATCACAATGACAATAATGATGATCGCAGCCGTTCATATAAACATTTTAAAGTATTAATTTATAATTTATTGTTGTTAATATTATATTATATATTTGCTGTACTTTAGAATGGTCATATGGTCATTAGGGAAAAAGTAGTTTAAATTAAAGCGAATATACACATGTGTTTAACAAAATATTAATGCAGCTCATTCAGTTTGTTTAATTTAGCTTAATTTTATTTGTATTTTGTATTATTTTTATGTGCCATCACTGACATTTTAACAAGATGTTTTAAAAGCGATATTCACATTTCACTGAGCAAAGTGACTTACTACATCATAGTCGGCAGCTTTAGTTCCTCCATAAGTTGCTTTGCGAACAAGTCCCCTTAATGAATTTGTACCTGTCGTAGTTTATTATGAATCCATTTAAGTTCGCTTGTTGTTATACATATAAATATCAGATAGAACAAATTGGCCACATACTAGGAGTACTTTGGCGAAAAATATGTCGCAAAAGAGGAGACACGTTCCTAACAAGGAGTAGTCTCAATTTTCTCTGACGTCCGTCTTTATAAACATTGTTTAATAGGTAATGAAAGTGAATCAAATAGGTTCTCCTAACTAAGTTAATTTCTACAGAAAGGTAACAGTATAAGTTATCACTTAATATGGAGGGTATCTACTTAGAGAAATTGACGAAAATGAGTACAATCGTTTTTTATTATTCTAAAGTTAGTTCAGAGTGTGCGAGAAATCATCCAATATTTTTGTGAGTAGCTCGGGGCAGCCATTATAATAATAATCACAATAATAAATTTATGTCTGGTTGTTAAACGAAGCGGGAAAGATAATGTCAATAAATTACTGGTTTCCAAAGTTTTCTGTGAAATGGATAAACATACAACAAATAATACTCCCTATAATCTAAAAATTTGGAGAATTTCAATGAAAATATATAATATAGTATAAGCGATGAATCATAACCTAGAAACCACCAATAATGCGTCTAATTTACATTAATATTTATTTACTAACAGGACTTGTCGTCCTTACCATCACTAAAGTCAAACATATTGATTGATACACATTGGAACCAGGATACGGAAATTTGCTAAATTTTAGAGCTCCACAATATCTGCTAGACCCGAAATTCCAAACTCTTAAATATAGCATTGTCTACTAAAGTAACTCAATCTCTGCCCAAATACTTATGAACTTATACCATAGATCGATCTATCTATCTGAGAAATGAAAATGTATATCCAATATATAAATATTTTTAGAACTTAGTTGGTATAATGACTATATATTAACAATATATTGTGCTCAAATACCTGAAATCATGTTGTAGCTCATTTACGGATTTATGAAAAAAAAAAATAAATGATGTTAAGCATTTTTCCGGTTAATTTTACTTTCAATTGAGTTTACCGTTTTATTTTTAATGTTTTTAACATATTTTAATGCAAATTCACAACAACAATTGAAGTAGAAAATTCAAGCTATTAAAGTAATATAATAACTTTTTTATTGCTGTCTGATGGCTATAAAATCGTTAAGGTTTTAAAACTAAATGTTTTGAGGGCTACGTACTCGAGACATTGTCAAAATTTTAATTTTAAAGAAAATAGAGAAAACAAAGTTTTTCTGTTAACTTTTATTTGTTTAGAAAATTCATATTTATGCAGAAAAAAAAAATTCAAAAATATAATTATAAGTATATGTAAAATCAATATAAAAAGATTAGTGGTTCCATTTCATCATATAGGACCCATAAGAGTTATATAGCCAGTTTTCGATCTCATTTTTCCACTGTTTATTTGTTTTTTCTTTCAAGATTACTTATTCACTTCAAACTGTTTTCACTATTTTCAATGGCATTTTGGAAAAAAAAAATTCCGTCATATATTGTTCGGGAATGTCTAAGATATATATATAGTACTAGACTGATATATTTAAAGTTTTTGCATACCTATAGTATTTCTTATTTTCTTATTTATTATTATGATATTATTATGAATATTTCTTTCAGTTTTCTCTTGTTTCATTTAATTACAAATTATATTGTGTACCTTTACCCATTACAAAATTTATTTTACCTATCCTATTCGTATAATTTAAACACAATTCCTTTGTCCTGAACACATCCATTTGACAATAGATAATAGTAACGTTACCTAATTTGAACAAATTTCATCACGTCACGGTCTCTAATTATATCTTAGATTTTGAATTATCACGGCTTAAAGTTAGAAATGATCAAATCGAAACAGTCAACTACAAATAGATTTTTATAATTAATAGAACATTGTGTAAAACAAATGACATATTAGTGTATATAATCGATACAAAATGCTTATAACTTTGAACCTCCATATCTTGAGCATTAAGCTATATCGACATATAGTATAGAATTGAAATTGCATCCTAACACTTGTGGATAAACACGATTAGTCATCGTTTCTAATTTGGCAGGCACGAGTTTTAAGCCTGGCACTTGCAGTCCAATCAAATTATATACGGACTATAAACTAATTAAAAATTCGATTATTTCCTAAGACCACTGATGATGAATGAGTATTGCCAAGTAATACTCGAAACAGCGTTGTATGGTCAGCCAAATTTCAATAAAATTGTCCTTTCTTTCTTTCTTTGCTATTCGAAAATCCTTCCTAACATATACTTACACAGTTTTTAGTAACATTATATATGTATATTATTACAACTTTCGGAGTCATATTGATGATGGCACTATTGAGCCCTATTGCAATTATTACAACAGATGTCCAATATAATGTGTCTACCCAATTTTACCAATGTTTAATTTAACGGGCGTTAAAATTCTATCATTGACTATCCATTTGTTGGGTTTAAAAAGGAAACTCTCAGTGAAATAATGCGTTAAATACCCCACATAAGTCTTATGAAAATAATACAGAATCCTTACTTTATAAGATTTACAAAAAAGTACTATATATAAATATAAACTTATCAATTATTATATTCCCTTGTTTAATTTTACGCTTTAATGATTCGGTTGTGCTAGAAATCATCCATATCAACTGTATTAAATTTTTTATCTCTTTTTACAAAAGTATATTTTAAAATCTTTAAGCTACTACAAAGTGAAAACCCAATAAAGAATTATAAATGGTTATTTGAGAGATGGTTTCAATAGATCCATAAGATATGGTAATGCCGCGAGTAGTTCTTTCCATAATTACCAGTAAGCTGTTAGAAAATTGTTACGATTGGTTTTTAAAATATGTTACCTCAATACCGTAGTACGAGGATCACTATTTATATTTCGAGCCTAATAATGAAAAGATATTGACTTGTTGCTTTATTGTTATACCATTTGTCAAAGCATTTTTGCAACCTTCTTCAGCCACCTCCAAAACATGGTTTTTAAACGCAACAACGGCTTCGTTGTTGCTCCCGCCAACAAAAATCGTTATCCACACAATTTATTATTGACGTTCGAGAACCAGAAACAAGAAGAAGTCTTTGGGTGCCAAATCATGACAGAAATCAGTACAGCAGATGACTCATCAATTTGAATTTTTGAATCTTCAAATAGTCGGTTATTAGACGAATTCTGTGAACACTCGGGCTGTCTTGATGGAGATGGAGAATGATCCGACTGCGCTTGTTTGTTTTCCGTATTTCTCTGAAGATTTTCGGTAAACAAATGGTTGAATTTATACCATTCGGAATTGACCGCTTTACGTTTCTGTAATGGTGTCTTCGTATAGGTTATACATGCTCAGTTTTTCCGAAAAAAGAAGCGACCATTTGTTTTGAAGTGCCTTGAGCGCGAACAACTTTTATTGGATTTGGTTCATCTTGAAACACCCATACAGTCGACAGTTAACAGTTAACTGCTGTTTACGTTCCGGCTCAAACGCACGTATTCATTATTAAAATCACCTGTTACAATCTTGTACTCGTATACATCCATTCTACTTCTTGAGCATTAGTATGAACGATGCACCAATCGTCACTGCTTGAAAAGTGACAAAAAACTCAGCCTAATTTAGTACTTTTTTTGATTTTTTAATTTTAAGAAATTAAATACAAGAGAATATAATCAAATAAAATGAATCTAATTGCAAATTAAGCATGTTATCTGCTAAAAAAATTTTGTTAATTAGAACAGTATTCAAATTCAATATACTTGCTGTGGCAATAATTATGTCCGTCATTGTATGTAGAAAGATGCGTGTTCGTTCAGTTGTAGAATGAAAGTAGTTGTGATAAAAAATGAAGAAACATAATGATTTCCTAAATTTTTAACTTAATTCTGAAAAAAGATATACCTAAACCAATCCACATACATTCGTTCGATGTCTTCGTATACATAAATATAGAAACTTTTGCATCACAACCTATCTATCTGTGTTTATCTCTAAACAATGTCTGCTGGAAGTTTCATAACTCAAAGAGTAGTTGATAAAATATTTATACATACATATGTACATATGATAGATTGTATATTATTCTGAATAGCTAGAAAGATACCAGCGTCACCTGCAAGTGACAAAGTACTAGTCTTCCGCATTTCTAATTAGGTGGTTTCGTTGTGGCGTTTTAACGCTAACCGTATTGTCATTTTAATTGAAATTATGATTTAAAAACTATTTTATGGTTCTACATATCATCACAACGAGAATGGTGAAACCATGAGACCGTGCAAATTTGCCATTCTCATTTTATGATGTAATACTGAATGTTTATCTACAGATTTTTCAACGTTTGTGATGATTTTATGG